CAACTCTGCTGCGAACTCACCTAATCCACTCCCTGCTAAAGGTAAAGCTTTTTCTCCTTTTCATATTTGCATAGTTCCGTTCGTTTAAAGTCGATCGAAATTGTCGTAGGTTTTGATTGACAACGAAAATAAATGCGAAGATCGTGAAAGAGTTGAGAACATTTTATCGGTTTATGTCTTCGCCGATTCCAATTCGTCCCGACCATTTTAAATCCCATATTTATTGAGACCAAGGAAAAAAGGGAGATTTTTTTCCCTGAAGATATTTAGGGGGAGGGTTTGTTTTCTTTCATGTCATGGTTCCAATTTCCAACTATACATACACCACAAATGTTTGATCTGATTCCTAACCTTATAAATTCCATATCTACTTTATATATGATTTGAAACTGATTAATCAGAGCGAGCATTTTGTGAGTGCAATTACTGTTCTAGGCATTGAATTTTGTTTTGTGTAGCATAGGAGCTTGATTGACAAATGGGGACTGTACTGTAACTTCTCAATTCTGTAGCAATATTTGCTGGCTCCACCACATTTTATCTTATAAATCCTCAAATATATGTGGCTATATGGGACGGCCTCTCTTGTTGCATGTTTCTTGCTTCCTTTTAGGACTTCCGTTTTCTTCCCCTTTTTCTTTTTCAAAATTTTCCTTTTGTCTCTTTCTAAAGTGTTGTTTCATGTGTACTTCATGACTCATCATGAATTACTTTTTATGTGAAGTTAAATTGGGAAATATTGGAGAGAAATTCCCCAAAACATAGTAATCATGACTTTTGATTTCCCTTCTCAAAATTTGTGACTCTTGGGTCAATATAAGGCAGCACCTAGTTTTGTGCTTGTGGTAACACATATAACCCAAATTCATTTGTGGTGCTCACAAACCTTTTTGTGCGAACGTTCACATAGGGTTGGAAAGTCGTCGGAACTGAAGTAGACGCCCTGTGGCCGTTCGAGTCGGTGATATTTTGTTTATAAAATCGTCACCGCATCCATTCAACGGCGACAGGGCGCCAGCTCCGGTTCCGACGACTCCCAACATCTAAAAGCACAATAGCAAAACCTCAAATCACCAATGCCATCCTTGACAACCCTTCAACCACTAGAAAAAACCTTTTAAAACCTCTTCTTTTTCATGTCTGCTTAAGTTTTACCATTGACCCTCTTGTACATTGTTTGGTTATATGCAGATCCATCCACATTCACAGCAACCGGGACGATCGAGGCCAAATTCGAGTCCGGCTACATAGTCTCCATGAAGATCGGTTCAGAACTCCTGAACGGAGTTCTGTACCATCCACATTCTCCTGCTGCCCCCGTTTTCGCTCCGGTCCCCCTCCCCGTCCAGGCCCCTCCTCCTCAGGACACCTCCATAGTGCCCTACACACCCAAGAGGTCCCGGCACTATGGAGGGCGCGACGGCCGGAGAAGAAGGGGCAGCAGAAGGGTGGAGGACCCTGACTACCCTAAAGCCAACAGGAGCGGCTACAACTTCTTCTTTGCTGAGCAGCACTACCAGCTCAAGAAGACGCACCCCAACAGGGAGCGGGAGTTCACCAAGATGATTGGACATGCTTGGACCAATCTCAGTGCAGCAGAGAAATCGGTAAAACTGTCAAAAAAAGAAAATGATCAGTGTCAAGATTATGAAATGGGTTTTGATCTGGAGTTACAATTTTTTTTTTTTGTTGTTGATGTTTTTGGGTGTGACATGTGTGTGCAGGTGTATCAGATCATTGGGATGAAGGATAAGGAAAGGTACAAGAGGCAGCTGAAGGAGTATAACGAGAAGAAGAGACTGAAGCTAGCTGCTGAAGCTGGAGCTGGAGCAGCTGAGGAGTAGTGGAGAGCCAAGTTGAAGACAGATTTATGTTTAAAAGTTATAAGCTTCTTAGTTGTTTTTTTTTTTTTTACTTTTGGTTCGTCACCAATTTTGGCGAATGGAGAAATGGGAAAATGGATGTTGGGTACTGAAGACAACAGATGGATTATGTTATAGACTGATGATCCATTTTGGATGGAATAGTTATATGAGCCTAGTTTACCAATGAATTTCAGGTTTTAAATTGATTAGTATTGTTGGTAATTGAGTTAATTTGTTTGTTTACAAGTTGGGGATTTGGTAAAATAACATGGAACTGTTGTTGAGCATAAATATGAAAAAAGTGACACCGGTAATTTGTTATAGCCAGTTGAGATGCGTTGCATTCATTTTTACACTTAAAGTAATTTGTTATAGCCAGCTGAGATGCGTTGCATTCGTTTTTACACTTAAAGTAATCAGTTATAATGCTTCTTATCCCTTTCCAATCATTGTAGCCAGTTGAGATGCGTTGCATTCGTTTTTACACTTAAAGTAATCAGTTATATTGAAAAATGCTACATTTCTTTTTATCTTCAAAGTAGGCAACTATGATTCAATAAATAAATTGAATAAATTATCAAATGTACCTAAATATCGTAAGAAAATAAATCTCTTTGTTCCTTTTACATTCCATAGAGGAAAACTATCAAATCATTAATAGATTGAGTTGGCAGAACATATGTGAAAAATGAAACACGTGTTGGGTGTACGAAACTTTCTACCTACTCTGGTTAAACTAATTTATAACGGCTGCTCTATTATATACTTACTCATTTTAACAGACAATTATTAAATTACTATTGTTTCACTAACCATAACCGTAAAAGTTAATTAACTCTACTCCTTTTTTCCAAATGTGTAGAATAGTAAGAAAGTATGTTGAAAACCATCTCATTACCCCGCAACTGAGTCATACTTCAAATATACTATTGTACTTATATTTACACACTTTACAGATTGATAGTTTGTTTTAATCATGAAAAATAAAATTTGTCTACCAACCGATTTCCAAATGCATAAATTGTAGTATTTACTAAAGCAATTATCAAACTTATCTAAACATCGTAAGAAAATAAATTTCTGTGCACCTTTTTATATCTCAGTGAGGAAAACGGCCAAACCATTAATAAAATGAGTTGTACAGAACAAAACTATGAAAAATGGAACATGTATCAACAGAAAATTTCCTACCTACCATGGTCAAACCAATTTTAATGGCCGCTCTATGATATACTTACTCATTTTAACATACGGTCATAATAAAACTGTAGTCGTCACCAATTTTGGCGAATGGAGAAATAGAAAAAATGGATGTTGGGCACTGAATACAAGAGATGGCTTATGTTATAGACTGATGTTTCCATTTTTGATGGAATAGTTATATGAGACAAGTTTACCAATGAATTTAAGGTTTTAAATTCATTAGTATGGTTGGCTTATGTTATTTACAAGTTGGAGATTTGGCAAAATAACAAGAAACCGTTGTCGAACGTAAATATGCATCCATCTAAAAAAAAGTAATTTGTTATAATGCTCTTAAGTCTTATCCCTTTCCCATAATTACACATGATTGGTCATCAATTTGGATAACACATCTTATCACTTTCGAATTGAACTCAATTTACACACCACATATCAATAATTCGTTTTAGTCGTTTTCCCTTATAAATGTATACAATGCAAACTCTCTAAATTAAATACAAAATCTATCTAGAATTTGAAAAATGATAAATATCATTGTACCTTGTATATACAAAGTACCCAACTGATAATAATCCATATATAAATTGAATGATAGCTCGAGGACACGATGTGTCCCATATGTTCTGGTGAACCAGAATCCTTTTCCCATTTTTTCTTTAACTGCAGGATAGCTCGAGGACTGTGGACTGTGGAGGTTGGCGGACCTTGAAGGCTTTAGCATTACTCTTGGTGGAATGATCCCTGATGAGGCCTGGCAACATCTTTTCTTTTCTATGAATCTTTCGAAAATTGAGATAGCTAATTTTATTTTCATTCTCTGGAGGATTTGGAAGGGGAGATGTTGGGCGGTCCATGAGGACATTCAATATCTTCCATTGGCTTTGTTTCGACAATATCAACGACAAGTGGACGAGTGGAGGGCAGTTGGGCAAAATCCTCCGATTCAGCCTCCTGTTGGTAATGTTTCTGCCGCTACTACCCCTTTACATGTTAACAGAGGCATTCCTACGACTTCAGGATCCGCGACCGTTATTAACGTTTGGTTTGATGGTGCTTCCAAGTATGGTCAAGAAGATAGTATTAATTTTGTCGGCTTTAATGCAACAAGTAATGTTCTGTTTGCTTTTGGAAGATTTTATGATGGGATCCAGGATCCATTTATCATGGAATGTTTAGCTCTACGTGATGCCTTACAGTGGTGTCTAACTCATTCCTTTCTTGTTGTTCATTTTCATGGGGACTCTCAACTCTTGATTCGCCGGATGATTCAAGGCGATGTGCATCACGTTCGGGGTGGCGCTATTCTGGAGGAAGCTAGGAGCTTGGCATCTTCTTTCAGCAGTGTTTCTTTCTGTTTTGTTTCTCCTCAACTTAATAGGGCTGCCCATCATGTGGCACAAAAGACCCTCTCATTGGGAGTTCGACTATTGATCGACTCCCGCGCTTTTCTTTCTTTCTTCCAATCTGTGACTCTATTTTATTCAGCTGACTTTGCTAAAAAAAAAATTGAATGAGCAAGGACACTTCTGAAAAATGGGACGCTAGTCGTGCAAATAACACTTCCCACCTTAGTCAAACCATTTTAACAGCTCCTTAATTACACATAATTGTTCATTTAGCACATGATTATTCACTATGAACCAGTAAACATCTCAGTATCTCGCATTATTTTCTGTAAGTAGAGAATAGTAAATATTTGTTGGCTTAATTTATCAATTTACAAGTCGAGTGTAAACACAAAACATAATTAAAATCTAAAAAAAAAACATAATTAAAAAAGGCTAGGAAAAGAATTAACAGGCCCATAAATCTGATCGCATAGCCCAATCCTCCACATTGGAGGCATGGCCCATTGAGTCCAAAAAGAAAAGGACCAAACGAGAAAACTCATCTAGCCGTTCCCTCTCGCTCATTACTTCGACCGCATCGAATCAAGTTCAAAGTCCCAAAACCGACATAGAAACCAAAATTGACGACCCCCACAAATTGACCTCTCAAATCTGCCATGGCGGCGGCGGCGGCATTTGCTCCTTCTCTCCTTCCGCGGCTTCAGATCACCGCCTCCAAAGGACGACGTCTTCCACCGTCAATCCAAAAGGCGTTTCGTCATGTCTTGCCGCCACTCAGCTACTATGGGTGCGTAACGTTGCTCTGCTTTCTAGTTTCTGCCTAATTTTTTTCTTTGGGTTGCCCAGACAATTTGATTGATTAATTTTTCCCCCCAATGCATGTCAGAACAACCGCTAAAGCAGAATCTCAGCCGCCATCTCTGCCGCAGCAACGGCCACCGCCGAGGTCGGTGGCCGTTCGGACGGCCTACGAGCTCCTCGGAGCTGGCCACATGTATTTGGATGTCAGGTAAATGAAAGCCAGTAATGGAACAAGTTATAAGAATGAACTGATGAATTTTATGACAATCTGAGGAAAAAAGGCTTGTGCTTAATTGCTACTGTGATCATGTGGGGATGTAGAACTAGCGAGGAGTTTGATGCAGGGCATCCCACTGGAGCTGTGAACATTCCGTATCTCCTCAGGAAAGGAGCAGGTACCCTGCCCAAATCCCTGTATATGAAGCTTAAGGGTATGAATGAATCGCTTATTTGACTCTTTTTGCTTCATGATCTTGTCAGAGATGAGCAAGAATCCCAAGTTCTTGGACGACGTGTCGTCGAAGTTCGAGAAGGAAGATGAGATTGTTATTGTAGGTGTCTGTGTGATACAGATCGGTTCTTTGCTTTTTCCTGTTTCCTAGTTAATAGAGGATTGAGACTGTTGTTGTTGTTGTTTGTTGTTGATCCACAGGGATGCCAGAGTGGAAGGAGGTCACTAATGGCTGCTGCTGATATGCAATCTGCTGTAAGTACTCTCATTCAGTTTGGACTTTGCTAGCTGATAGTGTACAAAAAGCCGGCTGATCAATTTGGAAGCTCTGAAAAATGATTTGTGGTTTTGCTTCCGTAGGGGTTTACTCGTGTAATCGATGTTGCTGGTGGCTATATATCATGGCTCGAAAATGGGCTCCCCACAACAATCAAATAACTGCTGCTGCTGCTGCTGCTGCTTTTGATTCATTTCTACTTCAGGTACTTCGACGACAGAGAGAAACAGAAGACTATTTGCTTCTACCATAAGCAATTGATAACATTGGTGGATTTAAGGATTCAGAAAGACTGCAACTTTGACATTTCATTGTAACAGTTTTGCAATAGATAAGACTCAGATGGAATCACGTTGCAACTTTGTCGTAACAGTTTTGCATTAGATTAGACACAGATGGAATCATGATTGTCTGATACGAATGATCGATCTATGAAGCTCTTACTGTTGAATAATAACAACCTTTATCCATGATTAAGGCCGTGAAATAAAACCCCAGTGCATTTCTCCATCTGGAGTGATTCCCAGAACCATGGCGATGACCAATTGACCCATCTTCAAATCCTTACGAGGATGAAACCACTGTCGAGATCCCATGAGAAGCAACCGACTCAATGGCTTATAATTGTAAGCTTTCCAATGAATAATTGGTCAATAGGCAAAAGACAGCCACAATTAACAGCAGCTACATACCCATGAACTCAACTACTGCAGTCGATCTTCGGCATTATAATGCTCTATAACAAGAGCAGAAAATATCAAGTAGATCCTATGACTAAGTGATGAAGTATATAAAGACACACCTTAATGCGATCAATCCCGAAGATCAATTCGAGAAGAGGACCCATTTTCAGTTTGAGGTGCAAAAGCCATGGCCAATTATGAAGGCAACAGCAGAGTTAGGCTTTTGCTTCTTACTTCTCCTCCACTTACTATTCTGAAGGAGGTAGATCCTATCCTACCACATCGCTTAACATAACATGTGAATCAGGGAGCGTGAGAATAAAAAGCGGGCTCTGCTACAAGCCCAATTCATACCTTTCTCGGCCTTTTGGCTAAGATCAAGTGTAGTATCTGTTCTTATCAGTTTAATATCTGATACGTGGGCCAATGGCCCACACGATATTAAATTAATTTTTTAGGGGGAGAGGCCCATCACTGTAGCTTGCTTCAGGGGCTTCTCAAGTGTCGCCCATGCGTTGCACTATTGCACGGGCCTGGCGCACCTCACCAATTTTAGTTTAATGATTTTTCGATTGGGCTTTAAGTTAATAATATGGCCAATAGTATGGTGCCGCTATAAAAGTTGCGGCACCGGTGACGCCAAATCCTATTGGTCCACGTGGAGCTTAAGTGGCATGTCTGGGTTGGTTGGATGTGGGCCAACCCGGCTCTCTCAAACTAACGGAGACCCATTCCACGCCCAAGTTTTAATCTGTTTTGACTTTTAATTAATTACGTGAAATTAATTTTATTATTTGGCAGAATCCGCAAAACAGAAAAACAGTAAACTACCAAACAAAACTCTCCCGATCTTCCTCTTTGGTGGTCTCTCGAAGCAGCCCGGCAACTTGTCCGTCTTCGACCCCATCTCCATAGTCTATATATGTTGCCTTCTACTTTTATTCTCTACAGCAGAGGCGAAAGAGTTCGCCGTCGTCTCGTGCCTCTGTCTCCATCGAACAGTATCGCCGACAAGGTAGCAGAGGACCCGAAGTCAGAGAAGAGAGAGAGTCTCCTTCCCCTCTTCATGATCCGCTTCGTTTTGCGTCGTCCTTGCAACCGTAGAAACTAAGTTATAGGTGGTACAGAGCGGCAACGGATCGACTTGAGGATGTAGGAGAAAGTGTCGGGTCGTTTTAGATTTCCCTGTTGCTTCTGTAGTTTCAAGTCATGGATGCTGCAATGGAAGGGTCGGTTTCATGTTTTCCCTTCCAATATCTGGGTGTAAAGTGCAGCAGGAATTTTGTGCTCTTTAACTCTTCTGCTCTTTCGTCCATTGGTAATAGTTGTTCTGTTTATTGGGGAACGCTACACTTTGCAGTGAGGCTACCTCAAATTGGAATGGTTTTAAGCTAAAAGGAACACTCATTTACATGTGTCTACTGTTGCTTGCATGAAAAAAGCATATGGTTACAGGTAAGCCATCTGGTCATAGTCTCCAGTATGTTTTACATTGCAGCACATGAACCTCAATTCAAAGATCATGCAAGTTTGACATGGCACTTATGAAATTGCATGGAGAGATTTGGAGGTGACTAGAATGGAATAAACTTGGCATCCTCATCAATGGGAAATAGTGGTGAGGTTGAAATCCAAATTGTAGTTTCCTTTTCTGCAGTGATGAAAGTTGTTGGTTCAATTTCCTACTACTCAAAAAGCTGCACTATTTTTAGTGCATTTGTCTTTGCGAAAGTGTAAATATGCCAATGCAGGTAAGGCATAATGATTTGGAATATGGAGAAAGCTTTTGAGTTTGTGACCGTGGTTCCAGTTCATTAGATGTTAATGCTGTCAACATGGTGAACTGGGAAGGAAAACTAATGTGAAAGTTCTCTGTCAAAACAATATGAAAATTGATAAGGCCTCGCAGTGGCAAAGTAGGATGGTATAAAGCACTTTGGGCGAAGTATGTGATCCCTTGTCATCGAGTCATTGCTTGGTTGGTGATTATGAATTGATTCAGAACCAGGGTGGAGTTGAAGGAATGGGGGGTGATTGATGATGATACATGTCCTCTTTGTAATATCGAGCCATAGACCAGAACTCATTTGTCTATATCATTGTCTATTCCTGTGTAGTTCTGCAGGCCCTGCTCCCTGATGTGGTTTGGTCGACAAATTGGAGTGATATGCTGTGACAACTTTGCAGGCTTGTGCAGCAAGGGATATTAGACTACAAGCTTATGGGAGGAATATGGTGCTAGTTTGTGGCATTCATTTGGACAGAGAGGTGCTAGAGTGTTTGTTGGCTCAAGTAGGAGTGCTGAAGAGCTAATTGTGCAGTTGAAGAGATTCGATACTACAGCCTAGGCAACGCCGAGTTTGCTCAGGATTTTGCTAACTCGGGATTTTCAAGATATCTGGGTAGAGAGTTGAGTTGAGAGTAACTGAAAGTAATTGTTGTAAAGCAGGCCTAGTCAGTAGATAGAGTGCATAGATAAAAGTGGAAATCCCTGTTAAGGTGTTAGCAGTATGTTCTTTGTCAAAGGGTTGCTAAGGCCCTGATGAACCGATTCTACAGCAGTATGTGTTTCGACGAACTTGGTCATTTTGAAGCCATGTTGGAGCTATAAAAGTTACACAACAATTACCGGAAAAAAGTGTAAATATATGTTATTCTCTAATCTGAAATCAATGCGCGCACATTATTCATCCCTTGTCTCCTGAAGTCTATATGATTATCTTCAAAAGCAAGAACGAGGAACATCAATGATAGCACATTATTGACCCAAAATCTCATGGAACTTAAATTACTCAACCTGCCTTTCTAACACTTCTAAAGGCCTATACCTTGCATAAGCTTCCCCAACACAACCAGTACTCCAGTAGTTGCTTGAGTTTACCAAAAAATCAATCAATATCTAATTGTGACGCAAAGCGAGTCCAACGGCGCTACAATAGTCTGGTCCTTTGCTGGCGATGTTATTCAATGGAGACAGAGGCCGAGGAAGACAAGGGATTCCTTTGCCTCTGTTCTACAGATTTAATATTGGAGCGAGCAGTGAGGGATTCAATGGATAGGTAGACCGGGAGATGGGATCGACGTGTGACAACTCCCCGAGAGTGATTATGTAGAAGCCGCCGGCGAGGGAGATCGGTGAGTTGTGCTTGTGGTTCGTTCCCTGTCCGTCGATCCCTGTTTTCTGTTTTGCGGATTCTGCCAAAAAATAAAATTAATTTCACGTATAATTAATTAAAAGTCAAAACAGATTAAAACTTGGACGTGGAATGGGTCTCCGTTAGTTTGAGAGCCTGGCCCCGTCGGCCCGTCCAACCAACCCAGACATGCCACATAAGCTTCACATGGACCAATAGAATTTAGCGTCACCGATGCCGCAATTTTTATAGCGGCACTATAGTATTGGCCTAATAATATTGGTCCATTTTGTATTGAAGGAAGAATCACTTGCTTCATTAAGTAAGTAATGGAAATCAGTACTTTGAGTTTTGACTGACTCCCTCTCAATTTTGAAGGCTAGAAAATGATTTGAGTTTTGCACTTATGCTTCTGCTCGCCATTGATGTTGCAGAGAACTTTGCATATATATCGGGGCTCTAAAGATGGACTTCCCACAACCAACCAGATAGCTGCTGTTGCGGTTGTGATCAGAGAAAAAGATCGAAATTGAATTAGGGTTCAGGAGAATTTGGGGAAAAAGGAAATGGAGAAGTTTCAGAGAGCACGAAGGAGAAGGGGATTCTCGTGGTGTCTCTGTTCTTTTAATTTTCAATTTGGGCCCAAACTATTCTCCGGCCCACAAGCAGACAAAAGGAAGTGAAAGAAATGGAAAGAGGGCCTGCTTAATTTTGGCCCGCAACTTGAACAAAACACGAGCTCGTCTTCTTCCTTAGAGAGAAGAGAACTTCAAGTTGCTGCAGGGACCAAAACAGAGGACGAGCAAAACAGAGGAACACAGCCAGAGAAATGAACACAGGCGATTTTTAACGAGGTTCCCAATCTACTGGTCAGTCCTCGTCCTAGACTCAGTACTTCACTGAGACCTAGGAGACTCTTTTTTTTATTGATTTTATCCTATCAAGCAAATTGAAACAAAAGACTCAAGAACATAAGCAAGAAGAGCAAACAACCCGGATCCCAAACCCAGACCCGTTACACCGTTAATCAGTCAGACCTATTCCTCTGCACTGATTAACCCACTCTTTAAACAGCCCTATACCACGTTTACAAGAGATAATCAACATTGAGGCACTTCTGGAGTATTTATACTGTTTTTGCAGGTCGACCGTTGTATTCGAAATTCCTCCAGGAATGGTAACTCTTGCAGATATGGAAGCTTTGCTGCTGGCATGATTTCCTTTGATTTATTTCCAACTTTCCATACTCCAACAATCTCCCCCTAAGTTGGAAATAGCAAGTTGTCCAGTGACCCTCCAAAAACGAACAAACCATCTCCACGCATTTAACTAGAACAAACCAATCAACCAGCATTCAAAGGAAAATCATCAAAGACCACAGCCAGGTCAGGCAAACCACCAAAATACTGTCAAGTAAGATAATCATCGAAAAGAAATCCTCCCCCTAAAACCTAGCTAACACAAAGAGACCACAGACTGGTTTGAACAAACTTCCTCCACTATGCAGCTTCATTATCAGAATCAGATCCGTAAAGGGCTTGAAGAGCGGCAGCAAAAGGTTCCAGTTCTGGTGCATCGTCAGAGTCGCTAGGAGAATCAGAGTCGCTGCTATCACTGCTGATGACTAGTATATCATTGTCACCATTCTCCCCCTCAACTGCTATTTCCAATAGGTCCATGACCTCGTCGGCCGAGAGAAAGATGGAAGGGGTGATGGTCATGAACGGATGAAGTTTGACATGAAAACGGAGTAGGAGGGTGGTGATAAGAGACCCAAAAGGAAGCGGGGAAGTGATACCCACATCACAGAAAGAGATGATAGACCCAAAGAACAGCGGGGCAAAGTTTAGGGGAATACCATGAGCAGCATGAGCCAAGACCCAAAGTTCAACAGGGGTTATCAGCATCAGATTGCCAGAGCGAGGTAAAAACACTCGAGAGATGAAAAAATGGAGGGCTCTGAGGGAGGGCAACAGGGCAGTGACGGGCATAGAAAGATTAGGACCAGGATACTGACCAGTAAGCTGATGAAACTCTTCTGAGAGATCAAAATTGAACAGACCTAGCTCTGACTCATTTGCAAGATTCTCTCCTATGACAGGGATGTGAAGAACACGTTCGATCTCAGCAACAGGAATTGTGAGGAGATTACCAAAGACCAGGGTGGTGAAAAACCGAGAGTGCACATCAGTAAACCGAAGGTTTGAGTAAAAGAATCGAACAGCATCAGGGCACACCACAGTGGAAAAGGGATGGTGCAAAAGAAAATTCCAGCCTAGATTTTGGATAAAAGGACGCACATCAAGTCCTACCTCAGTCAGTTCATCAAGCTGAACATGATACGTAGGCAGAATTTGACGGTTTTCAAAAAACAGAGAGTGTCGATGAGCATTGGCTGGAATAGGATCCAAAAGCATAGTACCAGTGAAAGTGCGAAGGAAGGGAAGGGCCATGGCTCAAGCTAAAACAAGGAAACGAAACAAAGGATGATGAGAAGGCAGTCACGACGAATGCCTCTATAAATACTAAAAGAGAACAAGCAAGGAAAAGAAAGTACACAACTTACCAAACACGGAGAGCAAACAAAAAGGGAAGAAAGATCAATGGAATCCAGAAAATAAAGCAACCACAATAAAGGTAAACAGCACACTCAAAAGGAAAAAAAACAATACAGGAAACAAGGTAAACAAACTAAGATAAGGAAATAAACAGGAATAACCAAAAGATACAACAGGACAGTATCCTAAGGAATCACCTCAGGATCCTGTATCCCCTATCAGCTCTGAGAGAGATGATAGAGAACGAAGGCCGATTTCAAAGCATAAAAAGGTAAAGCGATCAGCTGCTAGAGGTTTTGTGAATAAATCAGCCAGCTGGAATTCTGTAGGAATATGATGCAAAGAGATATGACCATCCTTAACAAGCTCTCGAATAAAATGATATTTAATGTCAATGTGCTTGGTTCGTGAATGCTGAACCGGATTTTTTGTCATGCAGATCGCACTAGTGTTATCACAGTAAAGAGGAACAGAAGAAACTTTCAATCCATAATCATTTAACTGACTTTTCAGCCAAAGGAGCTGAGCACATGAGCTACCGGCAGCAATATACTCTGCCTCGGCCGTGGACAAAGCCACAGCTCCTTGCTTTTTACAAAACCAGGACACCAATGAAGTACCAACAAACTGACAACAACCTGATGTACTCTTTCGATCAGTAAGACTCCCAGCAAAGTCAGAGTCAGTATATCCAAGAAGATCGAACTGATCTTGCTTGGCATACCAGATGCCGACATCACTTGTGCCTTTTAAGTATCGAAAAATACGCTTCACTGCTGTAAGGTGACTTTGTTTAGGTTGTGATTGAAAACGAGCACAAAGACACACAGCATATTGAATGTCTGGTCTACTTGCAGTTAAATAGAGTAAAGAACCTATCATACCTCGATATTTAGACTCATCAACTGACTCACCAGTTTCATCTAAATCAAGCTTGACATTAGTTGCCATAGGTGTTGGACAAGTATTCAATGTAGTCATGTCAAACTTTTGAAGCATGGTAGACACATACTTTGATTGACTAATGAAAGTACCATGGGCTGTTTGTTTAATTTGTAAACCTAGAAAATACTTCAATTCACCCATGAGACTCATTTCGAAGACACTTTTCATAGATTCACAAAAAGAAGAGCACATCTGAGTATTGGTTGACCCAAACACTATGTCATCGACATAGATTTGAACAAGAAGAAGGTCACTAGATTCATGTTTAATAAACAAAGTCTTATCAACTGAGCCCTGAACAAAATTCTGATCGTGAAGAAAAGATGTCAACCGATCATACCAAGCACGAGGGGCTTGCTTAAGCCCATAAAGAGCTTTGTTTAATCTGAAAACATGATCAGGATACCTATGGTCTTCAAAACCAGGTGGTTGGGCAACATATACATCCTCTTCTATTACCCCATTTAAGAAGGCACTCTTGACATCCATTTGAAACAAAGGAAATCCCATGTAAGAAGCAAAAGCACAAAGAAGTAGAATTGACTCGAGTCGTGCAACAGGTGCAAACGTCTCGTCATAGTCAATTCCTTCTTCTTGACAATAACCCTGAGCAACTAATCTAGCTTTGTTGCGAATGATTATCCCCAATTCATCAGACTTGTTTCTAAACACCCATTTAGTTCCTATGATAGTAACATTTAAAGGACGAGGAACTAAATCCCAGACATGTAGATACTCAAATTGAGTTAGCTCTTCAATCATAGCAAACACCCATTCTTCAATTTTAAGAGCATCTTTATAAGATTTTGGCTCAACTTGAGAAACATAGGCATACTGACCTGGAACGTATTTACCTCTAGTTTTTAGGCCATCAGTGATGTCACCAATAACTTGAGCAGCTGGATGTCTCTTCTGAATATGTGGAGGTGCAGTGGGAAGTGCGACTGGAGCATCTATGTTACTTGCAGCTTCATGCGCCTGTTTTTCATTATTTTCTGATCTGTCTGTTTGGTCAGGTACTTCTTCCTCTATTGATTCATCAGAACTATTTGACAATTCAGATAGGTCAAACGATAATGGAACAGATGTTTCAACAGGAGGAGTCATCTCATTAAATTTAACATGCACAGACTCTTCAACTTTCTGTGTACGTTTGTTATAGACACGAAAAGCCTGTCCACGAACAGAGTACCCTAGAAAGATGGCTAAGTCTGATCTAGAATCAAACTTTCCTAACTGATCACGAGTGTTTAGAACATAGCAAGGGCAGCCAAAGGGGTGAAAATACGAAATATTAGGAGGTTTATTTTTGAGAAGCTCATAAGGAGTCTTATTTAGAGTCTTTCTAACAATGACACGATTTATAACATGACATGCAGTATTGACTGCCTCGGCCCAGAAATATTTTGGCAGATTATATTCTAAGAGCAAAGTACGAGCACACTCGATAATGGTACGATTTTTTCGCTCAACAACTCCATTCTGTTGAGGAGTGCGAGGAGCCGAAAAAATGTGTGAGATCCCAGTGTCATTACAGAAAGTTTCAAACTCATCCATAATGAACTCTCCCCCATTATCGCTTTTGACAGTTTTAAGTTGACTAGTGTGCATCAAAGCAAAAGTTTTGAATTTAGCAAAGGTTTCGGACTTATGAGCAAGAAAGAAGACCCATGTAAATCTGGAATAGTCATCGACCAGAACAAACACATAATTCTTTCCTCCAAGACTAGTCACATTACATGGTCCAAATAGATCCATGTGGATCAGTTCAAACACAGCTGTTGAAGTGATGTCTGTCTTAGATTTGAAAGATTTTCGGGTCTGTTTTCCAGAGATGCAGGTTTCACAGAAAAAGTTTGCTTTATCTTTAAGCAAAGGAATTCCTCTTGCAAGGTTCAACTTGGACAACATTGTTAGTTTAGACAAACTGATATGTCCAAGTTTCCTATGCCACAGGAGTTCTTGTTGAAAAGAAACAGCAAAGCAATACTCATTAAAAGCATCAATATTTTGAAGATCAATAATATACATATTATTGTGTCTAGTCCCAACAAACAAAACCATTCCATCACTGACTCGTTCAACTATGCAACGAGAGGATTCAAAACTCACTTTATTTCCACTACTACATAACTGACTAATAGAAAGTAAGTTATGTTTAAGACCTTCTACAAGAAGAACATCATTAATCACAGGTAGAGGATATTTTCCTATGGTTCCTGTTCCAGCAATAGTGCCAAAACTGTCATCACCAAAAATAACTTTCCCTCCTCGTTTAATCTGAAGAGAAGAGAAGAGATTTTTCTTACCAGACATATGATGGGAGCACCCGCTGTCAAGATACCATAAATAATCTGTTTTGATATTACCTGATTCAGTAATCTGAGATGCCAGTTCAGTTTGAGTGTTAAGATCATTGCTGAAAGCCATAAAGGCCAGATTATCTTCTTGATCCTCGTCTGGTTCTGATTCATAATCGCTCCAGGTTGCCTTCATAGCTCTTTCTTTAGCCTTGAGCGTCTGTGGACAATGTGCTCGAATGTGGCCAATCTTTCCGCATTTGTAACATGCCTGAGCTTCTCGTTCTGATTGACCTGTTTCTAGAATTCTGGTCTGCTGATTAGGCAGCCTATCTTGAGAAACACTTTTATATCGATCATTAGCAATAAATTTGGAGTCATCCTGACGCCGTTTTTGATCATTTTTATACTTTAACATGCGATGAAATTTTTTGCTAACAAGAGCAAATTCCTTATCAAAATCACTGAGATCATCATCAGACTCATAATCGACAGTTCTAGACTTAAAAGCCAGAGTTTTCTTTCGTTTTTCATCATCATGGGAGACTTGTTTAATGACATTCTCATGACTAAGCAACGACCCTATCAGCTCGTTAATAGGCAGAGTTGTCAAATTTTTAGCTTCTTCAACAGCAGTACGCTTGGGCAGCCATTCTTTAGGTAATGATCGAAGGATTTTGCGATTGAGATCTTTAAGCTGAAACGTACGACCTAGACCTTTAAGTTTATTGATCAACACAGTAAATCTGGAGTACATTTCATGGATTGATTCGTTATTAAGCATAGAAAATGCCTCATACTCATGAACTAACAGATCAATACGAGACTCACGAATGTTAGACGTACCTTCGTATGTGCTTTCCAGAGCAACCCAAATTTCTCTTGCAGTCTCGCAGTTTTCAACCTGATCAGCTTCATCGGGATTCATTGCAGATTGAAGGACATGCATTGCCCGTTGATTTAACTGGGCACTTTTCTTCTGGGCAGCACTCCAATGATCCTGTTCATCGATATCCATAGCGATTGGACCATTTTGGACAATCAGCCATAATTCTTCATCAATTCCCCACATGAACTGCTTGATTCGCTTCTTCCATGCCGTGTAGTTCGCCCCGGTGAAGATTGGTGGGTGATTTAAGGCGGCTTGGCCGAAAGAGCTGGAAGCCATGGAACAGATACCTTGGCAGTAGTGAACTTCGTCAAGGCCAGAGCTCTGATACCACTTGTGATCAGAGAAAAAGATCGAAATTGAATTAGGGTTCAGGAGAATTTGGGGAAAAAGGAAATGGAGAAGTTTCAGAGAGCACGAAGGAGAAGGGGATTCTCGTGGTGTCTCTGTTCTTTTAATTTTCAATTTGGGCCCAAACTATTCTCCGGCCCACAAGCAGACAAAAGGAAGTGAAAGAAATGGAAAGAGGGCCTGCTTAATTTTGGCCCGCAACTTGAACAAAACACGAGCTCGTCTTCTTCCTTAGAGAGAAGAGAACTTCAAGTTGCTGCAGGGACCAAAACAGAGGACGAGCAAAACAGAGGAACATAGCCAGAGAAATGAACACAGGCGATTTTTAACGAGGTTCCCAATCTACTGGTCAGTCCTCGTCCTAGACTCAGTACTTCACTGAGACCTAGGAGACTCTTTTTTTTATTGATTTTATCCTATCAAGCAAATTGAAACAAAAGACTCAAGAACATAAGCAAGAAGAGCAAACAACCCGGATCCCAAACCCAGACCCGTTACACCGTTAATCAGTCAGACCTATTCCTCTGCACTGATTAACCCACTCTTTAAACAGCCCTATACCACGTTTACAAGAGATAATCAACATTGAGGCACTTCTGGAGTATTTATACTGTTTTTGCAGGTCGACCGTTGTATTCGAAATTCCTCCAGGAATGGTAACTCTTGCAGATATGGAAGCTTTGCTGCTGGCATGATTTCCTTTGATTTATTTCCAACTTTCCATACTCCAACAGCGGTTCCCTCATTCAATTGATTCCTACGACAAAGTTAACACAAAAAATTGCATCTTTGCTTCACCAAGAACATAAAGCTTTGATTGATGATATGAATGCAGAAAGGCTGAAACATTTTTTAGCAGTTTGCTACAAAGCTCTTAATGTTTAATATGACGTGAGTCCTGATTTCTAATTCACCACTTTCTAAATCATCATTCTCCTCCTATATATGATTAAACGTTGATATCCTTAATCCTTAACATTATTCTTAACGGTCTTTGGCCATTTTGCTCGTAACTTGCTCATTCTCATCTTGTTCTATGATAGGTTGTATTATATTTTCCAAATTTGGCTCCTAGCATGCTAGGAAAGATTTGTGCCAAGTTTAACGCCACTCAGAGGTCGTTTGCAAGGTAAAAAAGAAGACTTAATTTAGATAAGGCAACGATCCGGTCAAAGCCATTATCGACATTACGACCTAACAGCTCACAATCGTGAAACTTTTTCTTCGGGTGTAAACTCAAACAAAATCGAGAATGAGAAGCAAAGGGTCTCGTGGGCAGAATCATTGTTGGAAAATCACGATCGCGACATATAATTCACTGTCGTGAAGTTGAGATTCAATCCGTTAACATGGCCAAGGAACAGGTCAAGACTTGACTCCGACCATGACCTGCATCAGAATTGTAAAAGTTCATTGGCTGAAGGCAAAGTTCACAAGCGTGAACTTGAGGTTAGAAAAATTGATATATGAATGACCTTATAAGTATAAGGAGCAGTTTTTGGATAAGAGGCACATAGAGAGAGAAAAACAGAGTATGTGAAGATGTAGCTTGAGAGCGACGAGTTTAGAGTATTTTTGGAGGTTTCTTCACCAATGCAGCCCCTAATCAAGATTCAAATAAAGTGTTCAAATCAAAGGGGAGAAGATGAATCTAGCTATGGGTTTGTACACACTCTCTCTATGCTATAGCTTGTCTAGTTGTTTATGAAGATGAATTCTACCTTTTAGTTTCTCTATGGTTATGGTTTTGTATGTAAGCATGATTGTGAATCTATTTCCTATACCTATTAATGGCTTATCGATATTTCCTTGCGCTTGTGTTGAGTTTTTGGAATTTAGGTTTCTTTGACCTAAGAGATAGACCATCTAATTAATTAGGTCAAGATCTAGAAAACCCATCAATAGAGTGAAGTTATAATTGCATGTCCATTGGGTTGTAGCTTCATTTGCATGTGTTTAAGGATTCTAACCCTAATTCTCTAGGTAGCTAGTTGATTACATGAGCATTGAGCCAACCTAGCTATCTAGAAGTGTGATCAAGTGCATGTTATTGACATAATTACTAGTCTAGGTGATTCCTTGCAATTTAGAAGTTAGGGAACTCTTCACTGAATTATACTCAACCCATGTCAAACTATTGCCAGAGGGATTAAACCTAAACAACAACCGACCTCTAAACTCTAATTTTCTCCATCATACTTAGTTGTGTTCCTTTTCTTTGTTAGTTTAGTTTAATTCACATTATAAATACACTTTGTTGATTATACTAGTTTTTTGGCCCGCGCTTCGCCGCGGTAAGAAATTAATGATTTAGTTTAAAACAACAAAATTATACAGATAAAATACATATGCAAGTTTCACGTGATGTCCTAATCATTGCGAATAACATACGTCATCTGTTTGGTTAAGTGATACATTGTAAATAACGATTTCTACATAAATTTGACGTAGTGTTTAATTATTGTAGAAACTTTACATATTCTTTTTTTTAATTGTTACATAAATGAGTATTTGTCCATAAACTTTACGTAGTATAATCATTAAGGAAAATACATGTAACAGTTATAGAACATATTAAATAAAATTTTCATAATGTGCGGTCTAATAGTATAATCAAGTCATAGTAAGTAACATTGATAATTTTTTTATTTGTGTAACATTTTTTGACTGTTGTTACATAAATATTTCATAATATGTGGTCTAATATTATTTGCATATGTAATTTAGACTTATCGTAGAAGTGGTTGTAGGGAATAAAAATTATATGAATAATATTGCAGAAAAGGAGAAAAAATGACTTATGATAAAATTGAATATATGGGGAAAAACCCTATTGTGAAAGTACCTGTGAAAAAAATAATAATCTATTTTTTTATTGAACAGTAAAAACTAGAAAGTATGTAAAGTGTCAAATGTTTAACCCGGCCAACCCATGATAAGGTTGGTCGCACACTAATTAGAAAGAATGAGATTAAAAGTGAATAATTATCTGATCTATCTAAGACTTATATGCAAGGAGAAAGACAAACCAAAATAGGTGATTGGTTAGGTTAGCCAACCTCAAAGAATACGGGAACACAAAATCTCAATATAAAAGCGGCTACAGGAAAACAATCTCCCAATGAACAGTAAGCCATTAAGTAATCAGCGAAACTTTCGTGATGAACAGTACCGAATTCTTGGGCTTTTAATTAATTGATAGTGGCTTGAGGCCAAGAGAAGTACACCTAGAGGCCCCGTGGAATACAACTTTGATGGCCAACCTTATGCTATGTTGTCTAATCAAGGTATACTTGACTTGATTATACGTAGTATACTAGCTAGTTAGGCCTCGAGTTAAATATAAGGTTAGCCCTATTAAGTCTTTTGCATCATTGATGGGGAAATTTATGTCATTATGAAAGTGTTAGATATACTAGTATAGTCTTGCGTTTGAGTGTGTAGTTGTGTTAGTTATCTTGTGTTTCTTTTTGTTTTATTTATCTCAGTTTTGTTCCACCACTATTCTTTCTAATGGTGGTTCGTGTTTGTTTGTTTGATCTTCATGAGTTCACTCCTAACCGGTCAAACCAAATTAACCAGTTAAGTAATTAGTCATATATCTAACATATATTATATACACATACTTAATACTTTGCATAACCACTCAAGAGTTAACGTTCATCCCTTTTAGACTCATAAAATATAAAGCTCAATATTGCTCATATAGTGTATATTTGTATATGTAAAGTGTAGATCACAACATATGGATGCCTAATTTAGATAAATTTCATACATTATGATGGATGAAAACTTGAAAGGAAGGTCATTTCCAGCCTATGATAATTGCTAAGAGACTAAGTCAATTTACACAAACACAACAATTCGTTAACCCATACCATTGTCATAAATTTTTGTTAGGTGAATACTTCTATACTAATCGTAAGATAATTGTCTTAGTTGCATGTATTTTTGTTAAGGGTCAACTATAACTACGTGTTGATTGTTATGTTTTATTCATTATATAAATTGCGAATTGTTGCATTAACCGGAAAATTTTCATCGTCAATGATAATGTGATTTTATATTGGTTAATCTGGTTAACCAATTAAACAAACCGATTAAACTTTAGTTTGGTTAATTTGGTTGTTGTATTAGTTTGGACGGTTTGGTTATGATATTGTATTCCATGGTTAATGGAATTTAGCCTTATTTGGTTTGGTTATAACCATGACAACCATTTGAACACCCCTACTCCCTCTCAAACAAGGAAACCCAATCCTAAACCAACTCTTAACCGATTACTTCCTTAACAAGAAATAATAATAACACAAAATAACCAAAAGAATATCCAAATAAACAACAATAATAATAACCGAAATTAGTTTAATGACCCAGACGGTCAGAAAACGTGCACTCATGGCTGCTGCTGATTTCAGTTTGGACTTTGCTAGCTGATAGTGTACAAAAAGGCTAGATCAATTTGGAAGCTCTGAAAAATGATTTGTGGTTTTGCTTCTGTAGGGGTTTACTCGTGTAATCGATGTTGCCGGTGGCTATATATCATGGCTCGAAAATGGGCTCCCCACAACAATCAAATAACTGCTGCTGCTGCTGCTTTTGATTCATTTCTACTTCAGATACTTTGACGACAGAGAGGAACAGAAGACTATTTGCTTCTAACCACAAGCAATTAACATTGGTGGATTTAAGGATTCAGAAAGACTGCAAACTTTGACATTTCATTGTAACAGTTTTGCAATAGATAAGACACAGATAAGAATCATGCTTGTCTGATACGAATGATCGATCTATGAAGCTCTTGAATCTTGATGTTCAATAATAACAACCTTTATGCACGATCAAGGCCATGAAAACCCCAGTGCATTTCTCCACCTGGAGTCATGTTCCTAGAAGCATGGCGATTGACCCATCTTAGTTTACTCCGTTCCTGTCACTCTCGTCTTAATCGCAACCTTCAAATCCTTACGAGGAGGAAACCACTGTCGAGACTCCAAATTAGATGAGGTTTGAAGCTGCTGTTTGTCCCATGAGAAAGGAACCGACTCAATGGCTTATAATTTGTACGCTTCCCCAACGAATGACTGGTCACTAGGCAAAAGATAGCCACAACTAACAGCAGCTTTATACCCATGAGCTCAACTGCTGCAGTCGATCTTCGGCAATGTAATGCTCTATAACAAGAGCGAACAGTATCGATTGGATCCTACGACTAAAAGGATGAAGTATATAATAAACACACACCTTAAGGCGGTCAATCCCACAAATCTATTTTAGAAGACGAACATTTTCAGTTTGAGGTACAAAAGCCATGGCCAAGTTTGAAGGAGACAGGAGTTAGGATTTGCTTCTTAGTTCTGACTTCTCCAGTTGCAATTCTGAAGGAACTAGAATCCTACCACATTGCTCAACATAGTTTGTGAAACAAGGGGCGTGGGAATATAATGAGAGCTCTGCCGAAAGCCCAAATCATACCTTTCTCGGCCTTTTGGCTAAGATCAAGTGTAGTATCTGTTCTTATCAGTTTAATATCTGATACGTGGGTCAATGGCCCACACGATATTAAATTAATTTTTTTAGGGGGAAAAGCCCATCGCTGGAGCTTGCACCAGGGGTTTCTCACGTGTCGCTCATGCGTTGCACTAATGCAAGGGCCTGGCGCACCCCACCAATTTCAGTTAAATTTTTTCCGATTGGGCCATACGTAATGGGCCTATCAATTGTTACACTCGCTACCAGGTCCTTTAGGCCTACGTTTTGGTCGGGCAGTGAGTGGATTGATAGCCCAAAACACATCAGTACACACTACACTCTGATTGACTTATTTATTCTCCATTTGGAAGCCTGAAAAAATTTGTGGATTGATACTGCTCGCCATGAAGTTGCAGTAGCTGCTGTTGTCTCTTTTAATTGATTCATACTTCAAAGCAAGGTTGTCAACCCGCAGGTTGACCCGGACCCGGTCGAGCTAGTGGGTCAAGGGTTAATGGATCAACCGTTTTAGCCCGGAAATATGGAAAAAGTCATTATATTGTACTTATCCTCATAAATTATATCAAATCTTATCTAACATATGAGTTATAACATATAATATTACACCAAAATAACATATCGTACTTAGATCCAACATATAATGAAAATTCACACACACTTATATAACATAAATATTCAAATGTTCAACTTAGGATTCCAAAGATTGAGTTGGGCGAAAAGAAAAATCGGAAAATAGGCGCATTTCGCAAATCAAAGGAAAAAATGACACAATTTGACCTCCAACCCGGCACCTTATAGCGGTCGGCCCGACGGGTGCGTGCGGCCCGTTTTTCTCATCGGGTCAGCGTCAAACTGGATCGACCCGCGGGTTGACAACCTTGCTTCAAAGTTAACACTAAAAGTACAGACAGAAGCCGGCTCTATGCTCCACCCTATCAGGGTTAAATAAAAAACCACAAATGTGCCCTAGTTCACCCTTCAACATCTATGGCTTACTTGTTATAGACCCCAACTTATTGTATTACCTTGATTGTTGATGGGTAAGCAAAGCATGCTAAGAAAACTATAGATACTTTGTTGGTAGTGCCTTGGTAGCAGGGACAGACCCACCTCTTAGAAAGGTGTGTCATGCGACAAATCTCAGTCTGAAATTTGCGAGATTCACATTTTTTGGTATATACAATTTGAATACGAGGTCTGCGGTACACCTCGAGTAATTGTAACCGACACATTTTATTACGTTTCAAACTTCAAACTAAGTGATTAATTGGATGGTTGTATAAGAGTAAACAATTAATTGACTACTTAGTAGTGAGTATTGAGAGAGAGAGATAGCTATCAGCCTATCACATTAGAGATAACCATGTGTCATTTGAATGATAATTATATTGATTAATAACTAATGAGTGAGTTGTATCGATCCCCGTGGGACGATACTATACTTATATTTATTACTTGATCAGTAATTTACATACGCATTTTATCGCATCACTTTCCTTTTATCGAATAAAAATTAAAAATCCAGCTCCACAAACATTAAACCATGCCCATCCCTTTACCCCTTTTAATTCACATTTCATCCTCCTTTTTTTGTATGTCGAGTGTCGAGAGGGGGAAAATATCTCCAACCTCTGCTTCGCAATTCTCTGTCCTCCACTCCACCCTTCAATTATCGGCGTTGAGCCAGTGACATCTTCATTCCTATTCAAACTTTCATGTTAACACCTGCTACAATTCTTCTAGCTTTCCCATCTTAAGTTAGTGTTGACTTTACCTCCTGCAACTCCAAGCTGGAAAATGACATTTTTCATATATGATTTTAATAAAGAACAGTCTGCGAAATAATTTGTGTGACCAATTTATGAATACTTTTTTGTATGTGTATAAAAAGGTAATTGCAACATAAGCGAAAAATGTTATTAAGAAGTCTTTTAGAATATGGAAATTCATTGTGGTTCATGGTAAAAAACAACGAAATTGTGAACTTTATGAATAAAATTGTATGATTATTTTTATTTTTTAACTTATTCTATCAATTGACACGTCTATCCAAGAAATTCTGTGTCCGCCATACTTAGTAGTGCATTCTAATTATCATAATGTATTCTATGAGTATAGTTAGCTCTTTGTATCTCTTATGTATATCGTCACCCTCATATATTTTCATTAATTTACATTTTTCACTTATCTTATTACACATATTTAGAATCAAGGTCATAAATTGAGGTTATTAGAATGCTATGTGTGTGTTTTTATGAATAATTCAATTTATTAACCAAAATTATTTATTTACTAATAAATAATTAGCTACATGTTAACTTTCAGTTAACAATTTTGTTAGTAATATTGACTTGGCAGCATGATACTCAATTAGAAGAGACATATAGAGGTTAACATTCTCAAACTTTAGTATTTTAACTAACAAAAAAGTTAAAATATTATTAACAATTACTTAAAAAATGAATAATATTTTTATGCATTATAAAAGATTTAAGTAATATTAGAAATTCGATACGATTGACTAATAATAAAAAAAATACGACAAACGTTTGACTAGTTATTAATATAATTAATCGGCAAGCATACTTAAGGGGTTCAGTAGGCTGTGGTCGGGTGTACCATAAGCCTCCTAAGACCCTTTTTTCCCACCGTTACCCTTTTTTCCCATCGTTTCTTCCTTTGGCCTCCCCGCGTAGACTGCCTGGCGGCTACGCAAGTTGTTTTCCTTCCCGGTGGAAGGGAGTGATAGTACCTCCGACGATTGGCTTGACGGTTACCCAAGTGTCGGTCTACTTCCCCTTTCAGAAACTCTCCGACGATGATTACCCGGCAGCTACCCAAGTCTCAGACCCCTTCTACCCCTTCCTAAAACCCTCGGTCGAGGGATCGATTTGCAGTCGGCGGACAAACAATCCAAATCGACAAGCATCCACGGTGGTGAGGTGCTGAATCGTTAATCAAAGCCCACCGAGAGCGGACAAAAACTCCGCCTATTCATGGAAAATAACACAAGGGAAGAACCGGGACTGCCGTCGATTTGAATAATATGACACAATTCCAGAGAGCTAACAAAGGAAACAGTGACGATGAGCCGATTTAGTGATTTTCCTCCCTGCAATAGTTCTCTGCCATCCAATTTCCTTCGATCCTTTAGTACCCATTCCACCACTCACCTTGATTGCATGCCTTGATCAAGACTTCAAGGAAATCGGAACCCAATCCAAATTTCAATTCTGCTACTTCTCTAGCTAACCAAAAGCTCCGCAAGGTCTCCTGCTCGACAATTTCATGGATTGGGAACTGGGATCTCTGCCATTGAGGTTCTAGCTTTGTGGGGGTTTTTTTTTTTTTGCGCTTTTATCGGAGCTTTGTGGATGATAAGCTAGCCAAATTATTGATTTCTATCATTTTTCCTTTTTATTATCCATATTTGCATGTGTGACAGGTGTTTACTTCAAATTGAAACAATGCCACTTGCTGACGCGTATATGACTTCATCTCATCAATATCATTATAGTAAACTTTTCTAACCTTTCCTTTTCCGTGGTAAGTTTTTCTCCACTCTTAATTTGAGGTTCTCATTCTCATTCGATTGGTTGAGTCCAACACCATATATACTTTATACATTTGAATAGATTCATTTAATTTTAGTTATTTTCTTGGGTTATTTAAATTTTGTATTTATAGGCATTGATAAGAAATAATAGTATGTACAACAATTCATGAATGTAAAATATTAAAACCGTGAAACAATATAGGAGGTTGTACTGGAAAAGTGAGTGATAGGATATGTTGTACTAAAATCATGACTTAATCAATGTCATACCAATAAAATCATCTACTGATTTAGGTTTTGATATGAAGTTTTCTCTGTTCAAAACATCGATACGATTCAAAAACAGTGTAAAAATTAGCCCAGTTAATACCCATACAATATTAGATATCAAAAGACTTTACATTTACTTATATTCATTGTTGTTCTTCCAATTAATAGTTCAAATTAATAAATTTAGAAGCATTATAAAAGACCATATCAATATTTGGAATCGAGGGCATTAATTATGCAAGGTGTTGATAATTAAGTTATAATTACCTAAATAGTTAAGCCTTTCCAATAATTATAGCTTTAAATAAAACTTATAAAAGTGTCTCGCGCAAAAGATTTTGTGAATATTTTTATTTCACTAAATTATTAAATAAGTTAATAAAATTTTATCACCAAAAGGAAGTATTTACTGATTATGGCCGCAACGCGCGGGCCAATTATCTAGTTTACCATAAAAAAGACAAAAATACTAACGAATTTCTTGCACCGCCCGATGTGCGGCGAGTAGTAGCTGACGTGGCATATTTTTTTTCTTCACATTCGCTTATTTGTAGCAAACCAATGCGCTATCATCCATCCATTTCTCTATCTTCTCCTCCTCGTCCCTGTTTCGTATTTACTGTCTGCCCTTCTGGATAGAGTTATCCATCACAAATTCATGAACGTCGACAGGACCATCTTCAACTTCAAATCACTTTACCATGAACGCTTTCTCCACTGATTTCATCCCCCAAAGTCTCCACTCCACCTCCTTAGCGACGCAGCCCGCTTCACATTCACTTCACTACAGCGCAGTAACAGTGGGTTTCAGCAGCATAAAACCTAGCTTCAATGGCGGCAACGGCTACTCCAGAACTTCACCGAGGGGCAGTCTATCATCGAAGACGAGCCCGACGCCGACCCATCTCCCGCCTCCTGATTGCAAGGAAACCCATATGGCCAAACTGCTCAACCGGTCCCGAAAGGCGGGCAAGTACAACGAATGCCTCTATTTCCTCGAGTGCAGCGTCGGCAAGGGCTTCGCGCCCGACGTGGTCATGTGCACGAAGCTGATGAAAGGGTTCTTCAATGCCAGGAAGTTCGACAAGGCCGTGAGGGTGATGGAGATCTTGGAGAAGTACGGGAAGCCTGATGTTTTCGCTTACAATGCTCTGATTAGTGGGTTCTGTAAAGCTAATCAGATCGACAAGGCGAACAAGGTGCTCGATAGAATGCGCAGCAGAGGGTTCTCTCCTGATGTTGTCACTTACAACATAATGATTGGGACATTCTGCAGCAGGGGCAAGCTCGATTTGGCTTTTAAGGCGTTCGAGGAGTTGCTGGAGGATGATTGTGAGCCAACTGTGATTACATACACTATTTTGATCGAAGCCACCATTCTCGAAGGTGGGATTGATGAGGCCATGAAGCTCTTAGATGAGATGTTGGCGAAAGGGCTTCAACCGGATACGTATACTTACAATGCTATAGTTAGGGGGATGTGCAAAGAAGGTATGGTTGATCGAGCTTTCGAGCTTGTTAGGAGCTTGAATTCTAGGGGATTTAGGTCGGATACTGTTACTTACAACATACTCTTGCGAGTGCTGCTTGGTCAAGGGAAATGGAATGAAGGAGAAAAACTCACGTCGGAGATGCTCTCAAGAGGCTGTGAACCTAACATTGTTACTTACAGCATATTGATTAGCATGTTATGCCGCGACGAGAAAGTTGATGAAGCAGTTCACTTGTTGAAGACCATTAGGGAAGAAAAGGGTTTGACCCCTGATGCTTATTGCTATGATCCGTTGATCTCTGCTTTCTGCAGGGAAGGGAGGCTAGATATGGCAATCGAGTTCCTGAACTACATGATATCCGATGGTTGCTTGCCAGATATTGTGAACTACAATACGATAATGGCTGCACTTTGCAAGAATGGTAATGCTGATTATGCTCTTGAGATTTTCGAGAAGCTTGATGCTGTGGGTTGTCCACCAGATGTCAGTTCATACAACACCATGTTCAGTGCCCTGTGGAACTCTGGAGACAGGTACAGAGCTTTGGAGATGATACTGGAAATGCTTGGTAACGACATTGGTCCAGATGAAATCACTTACAACTCGCTTATTTCGTGTTTGAGCCGAGATGGGTTGGTGGATGAAGCTATAGGGCTGCTAGCAGATATGCAGAGAAGCAAGTGTCGGCCAACTGTGATCAGCTATAACATTGTTCTTCTTGGGCTGTGCAAGACTCGGAGGATCAGTGATGCCATTGATGTGCTGGCATCGATGGTCGACAAGGGTTGCCGGCCTAATGAAACCACTTACACGTTGTTGATTGAAGGCATTGGGTTCGCAGGTTCGCGTACTGAAGCAATGCATTTGGCTAATTCTCTTCACTGCATGAGAGCCATATCCGAGGATTCGATCAAGCGCTTGAATAGGATCTTCCCATTGCTTGATGTTTACAAAGAGCTTGCTCATTCAGATTCATAAAAAACGTAGCTTAAGAAAATCTCAGTTCTCTCTTCTGCATGCTAACCTTCAGTTTGAGATTCATTTCCATGTTTCTAGAGAGACGGAGCAGGGTTTGTTTGTTTGTACATAGTATCACTGTGTGGAGATTTTGGTTAGAGAGATGACTTATTGATCTCAGGCTTCTGAGTCAATTTGCTGGATAGATGTTGACCCAGAGCTGTCTCACTATATTGTCAGAAGAAGTAGTAGCAAATGACACAGGTTCCCATTTACTAGGCCTTTTTGTCCAACCATGTTTGGTCTCTTCAATCTCCATGTTTGCAAATGAACACCTGAAGGAGAAACACCCCTCGTAGTTAACTATATTGAGCACATCAATGACCTGGCTCTCTAGTCTCTACTAAATCTATCCTATGTACTTCTATGTGTCGTTTGGTTTAACCCTCAAATCAATGCAGCTTCAGGGTTTGCTCATTGTTTCTATACTCTCACACTAGATTTTCAATCTCCTCTGATGTCATGCCAGCCATTCCTGTGTTTTAACTCTAGTGTGTGCATAATGTATATCAAGATTCCAAACATCATAGGATCTGAATTTGTAGACACTGTGGAGACGCACAATCATAATGCTGTTGCTCTCTGTGTAAGTTCCGCCGTCCATCTTAATCGAAACAACAGCCGTTTCATTCAGGCTGCCTGTTGGAAAGAAAGGCATCTGGGAATGAGGAATGTTTAAGATAGCTTGAAATTTTTCACATAACACGACTTCCTTCTCCTTTTAGATTAATCAAACAAGTGTAAAGCCAAATCTAGACTGAAAGTATGATATGCTTTATGTACTCTTAGCAGGACATTGTGCTATCGTCCAGATGGCGATTGTTTAATTGAATCCTGCTATAGTTCTTCTTGAAGTGTATAAAGACGAGATACTACTTTCTCTTTTCGTTTAGGTTGAGAGTCTTCATTTCCTAAAACTCCAACCTTTTTCCGTCAGGTACTAATTCCTTTTATCAAATATTGAATTTATATGCCACTCTCATTACAATGAACAAAATACATGGAAGATTACAAAAGATTAAATCGTGGTTCATCTATCAATTCATAACTTTTCATTTGAAGGATTATCACAATCAAGAAAGGGCACTCATTATTTCTTTAACGAAAGGGGAAAACAAGAGTCAAGCTCAAGCACTCTTCCTCAACTCCTTGACCTTGTTCCAAGCCTCCCTACCGGAGATCTCCTCCCACCACCTCCCGACATTCTCCCTCGAGCCAAACACCTCTCCTTTCCCGGCCACATCCACCAAGTAATCCGCATTCGGCAGATGAGAGAGATCGGCCAACGAGAACTCGTCCCCAGCCAGGAACTTGCTCTCCGACAGCCTCTTCTCGTACACATCCAGCACTTTCTTCAGCTTATCCTGGTTCAGCTTGATGGCTTTTGGGTCCTGAGGGATCTTCATTCGCGGGGCGAACGCCAGCTGGAACACGAGCGCCCCGCTTGGCGGGTTGAAGCTCTGTGACTCCGCCTCCAGCCACTGGTCGACCGAGGCCTTGGCTAGTGGGTTTGCAGGGTAGAGCGCCGTGTTGCCCTTGTCGGGGTACTTCTCACATATGTACCGGCAGATTGCTCTCGACTCTGCAAAAACAGAGGAAAGTGATTCTATCCACATTAAATCAAGTCCATAAGTCGCAACTACACTTGTTTGTGTATTGCTCTTACAGTGCAGTCCACCAAGAAAAAGTTCAGTCATTCATTAACAAATTCAACAGTCTGTTTCTACCCAAAAATATTCAACAGTCTGTAAGAAAACATGCAGTGACTAGTGAAAAACATAAACTTTCAATACTATTTTGGATTTGCTTAACAAAGAGGTAAGAGAGAAATGGGGTCTAACCGAAGAGGGAAATGGAGTCGTCTTGAAAGGCAGGGACTTGGCCGAAAGGCTGGAGCTTGAGGAAATCGGGCTTCTTGTGCTCCCCTTTGGCCATACTGACGGGGACGAGCTGGAACGCCACGTCCTTCTCTATCAGGCAAGCCAGCACCCTCGACACCGCCGTCGACAGCGGCGGGCCGTAGACCTTCACCGGAGCAACCGCTGCCATTGTAGATTTGGCGGCAGAGAGAAGGCAGAGTGGGAAGAAGAGCTTTGCCTTCGTGTTCTGTTCGGTTCTCAACCACACGATAGATAAATAGAGAGGAAGAGGAAACAGAGGTGTGAGCTGGAAGGAAGAAGCTGCAAACTTCCACTTTATCCCTTTCTTCATTGCGATGGTTAGATGCTGGTCCCCACCTCGGCGGTGAAAAATAAAAATTCCTTTTCCACCACTTATTAGTTATTACTAATTTTTCTTTTATTTATTTTTACTTATTACCAATTTTTACCTCGTTCATCAATTGGAAGCCGGGAGATTTCGCACGTTAACATCGAGCGGGAGCAACCGGTACTCGACATCCAAATCGTGAAACATTCTTACGAGCTCCTGAATGAGATGGCTTCTCCTCGCGAATCTGTCCCCCATGTTCTGGAAGTTCATCCTGTGCCTCACCAGCGCTTGTATTTTCAGCTTGTTCATGTCTTCCACCTCTCTTATGGTGACCGACGCCGTCGGGTGCCAGAACTGGTTGTGGCGATCCACGTACCTGCCAAAGAAATGGGGAAGAAGAAGTAGAACGTCAATTTGTTTGTAAGCTGCGGGACCGCACGACGACGAAGAGGAGGGAGAAGCCCATGTACCCTTTTAGCCGGTCGTTCATGGCGGAGATTTTCTCCAGTGGAGTCGAGATGTGGATGCAGAGGTGGATCGCCTCCGCCATATCGGGGCTGCGGTAGTAGTTGGAGATCGGTTTGGTCGACAAAAGGCTGTTTGGGAACGTGATCTTCTGGTAGTCCGACTTTAAGAACACTGTAGTCAAGATGTTCATTTCCTCCACTCTCATCTGTATATAATAAAAACGTGAGGATGGAAGGAAGAGAAAGGGAAATGAAACATTGGAGGATGGGGCTACCTGGACGCCATCAACTTCGCAGAGATCGCCAACGTCGAAGGGATGCATGACGAACAGGAAAATGATGGCCTCGAACGTGGTCTTGCAGGAGTTGCTGAAGATAAAGCCTACCAAGAGGATCTGGGAGCTCAAGAGGACGAGGAAGTGGGCAATGGGGATTCCCAGCATGACGAGCCAGATTATTACGATGATCACTGCTACGATGACGTTCAGCAGGCTATGGAGCTCGTCCACTGCTGTTTTCGTGTCGTTCAGGGACAGCGCGAGGGCTTGCCTGTCCCTGAATGCATTCACCTGTGAGGCAGAGTTTAGTGAGCAATGATAAAGTCTTGAAAGAGACAGGGGATGATGGTTTGACATTCATATATTACCAGCCACTCGGTGAGCAATGATTTGCTTATCCCTCCATTCTCAGAAGCTGGTCCGAAGTGATGCATGGCCCTCAAAGCCTCTTCTTTACCCATGAATCGGATGAGGTCCCCAATGAAAATATGCCTGGTCATTGAAAATAAATGACAATGCAATTATCTGATGACTGATTAGATAACCTACTGAAACTTGGGGAAAACTGAAGAACTTACTGGGATCCTGGAGCAGCCACATTGGTGAAGATCTTCTTGGCTGCTGCCTTCGCTTGGCACACACTCCTTATATGCAAGGACGACTCGTCACCTTTCGTGTCCGAATCAAGCACGTGCTCATCCAGAGTAGACAACGAACCTCGCCGAACAATATTGATCATTCTCCTCATGGTCCAGCCCGACATGTTTTTCTTGCTCAGATTCTGCTGCTCATCGATGGGAATCTCCTCGTTCCTTCTCGAAAACCTCGACCTGTTCCCAATGGTGGAGTACTTCTCCAGTTTCCTCCCATACCTCATTTCATTTCCTTCAAAAGCAGGCGGACCAGAGAGTGTGTCGATCACGAACTGATTGAACAACGCCTCTTGGATTCGCTCAAAGAACGTGTTCTCGTGGAAGGAAGAGGCGAGGACTTTGACGAAGAGGGTCTTACCCAGCCAGATCAAAGTTCCAACCAAAAGGCAAGTTAAAATCTTTGTTCCATAAGGCAAGATTTTGCTGTGAGTCTGCTTCTCAATCTTGTCGTCGAAGATGATGAAGTGCCAAATGAGTAAAGTTGAGCCTAACCAGATAGAGTGTTGAACAGCTTTCTTTAATCCGTAAACAAAGTAGAGAACTCGCTTCTGGAGTAGGAAGTTCTGCTCGATGAGGATCACAATGAGCTTGATCAACCAACCGGAGACCCAATTTCCCCCCAGGATTACCAGAGCCATGACCTCCCATTTCCATAAGGGAAGATCACAAAGAGTTTGGTTTCTCATGGAAGGTATGCTGAGCGTGGAAGCTAAGGCTAAGAGAGCTAATATGAGAGGCAGCTGCCACACGAGCATTGCGAAAGTACTGGTTTCCAGGTGGTTGTTGTTTGAGACATCTTCATGGTCATCCTTGTCTTCTTCTTCTTCTTCTTCTTCTTTGCCACAGTCTTCTTCTAGAGATTCAATATCGTCGGAGTTCATTGTTCTGTCGTCTTCGTCTTCAATTAGTCTGGACTTCGTTCTAATCATGAGTGACCTCCATGGGTTACGACGAAAGGATTGATCGTTGTGAGATGGTTGGCCGTCTTTATCTGGTATGCGCCACATGGCTTCCTCCGCGATTTTGGCGAAGGATGCCTTCTGCTTTGCTGGTTTGCTAGGGTTGGAAGCATCAGCAGTAACCCCCGTTGTTTCTGTGCAGGGAGTGGAAGTATGAATATCAACCACCGACTGCGCTTCCTGGCCACCACTGTGATCCAAGAGGGCTTCATGCTGTTGCTGCCGTTTGGCATGAGAACAGCAAGATTTCAAGGACTTTCTCAATGTCTCCATTGGAGGGAATGCTCTTGAGTGGATGCTTAATGGTTTCTGAAAATGGTTCAGCTCATATATATGTAGCCCACATAAAACTGCTGCATGATTCTAATGTAATGAAATGTAGATGAAATGCAAATTAAAGACAGTCCATGATCGAAGAATCTAAGCTGTGAACTTGAAACGTAGGAAGTTGACGACTGCAACATGAAGTGTAAAGCCACGTGAGGGGGAAAAGGTCCTTATGAGTTATTAGAGTGATCCATATCAGCTGAATAGACTGAAGATGCTACAAGCAACTAGTGATTATCAACTTAATGCGTATTACAATCACAGGTGTTATCAATATTCAATAGTAACGGCATATATTCTGTCCTTTGGGCCATTCCAGACAGTGCACAGACAATCCAAGTTATTCTTCCTCCACTAGACAATCTTTATTTTAATGTGAACCTACATTCAATGATATGATCTTCTCAAGTCAAGGAAATAAAGACAGACTCTCAGAAGTTCTGGTTCTGGAGCAAAAATTAATCATATACTGGAGTTACCTTTTTACGGTGTATAATCCATCTGCTACAGCTTCCAGCCTCATCATCATGCCTCGAGAAGTGCTATTGCAGTTGCAGGGGACCTGAGTCTTGAGATGCAAGTGAAAATGTTACCAAACCAAAAACGAACAGTTAAGTTCATGCTCTTGCCAACTTTGAGCTGTATATTTACTCTGAATACACGGAGTTAGGAAGCCTACAATGATTTCCAGCTCAAGATCGTTCATACCACTCTCATAAGCTAAACAACAGTTGAACATCAGCAGAACTAGTCATTAGAGAAAACTGGGTACTAACTTAGGAGGGGGGAAAAAACTTAGAACAAACAAAAATAGTAAACAAAGAAACCAATTGTTACTCAAGTGTGAAATTTAACTACTACAAACGTTATGTACAATGTTCCTCACTTCTTGCAACCTCAAACTCCTGTTCTCAGCCTGTTGCAGCCACTACTTTCCTAGATACCTTGTGTTTTGCCCTGTCTTCTCCTTCCTCCGAGACCTGTTCAAGTAATTATAGACGAACGAAGATGAACCTTTTTCATAATATGAAGAGTGAAATTACAATGTGAAAATTTCAGTATCAGTTTATGAATTTAAGTTTACCATCCTCTGTAAGTTCTGTAGAAGTTCCAAAATTTCAGAGAATTCAGGCCTCGAACAAGGGTCTCTGTCCCAGCATCTCTCAAGAAGTTCTGCCAATTTAGGATGGGTGTTCTTTGGGATGGATGGTCTCAGCCCCTATAGAATAATGATAGATCAGAAAAGCCAGCTTATCAGTTGGCTTGGGCTAATTCATCGTCTTATTTCCAAGTCATTACAAGTAGAGTGTAATCATAAGAAGGAAAGATTGACAGATGCCTACAGTTTCATGTGGAGTAAGAGAACCAGAGATTACCTGCTGTACTACACCAACTGCAGCTTGTACTGGGGTCAAGTTGTCATAAGGAATCTAACAAGAATTTACAGAGAAAATTGATAAGCTATTCATACTACGTTTCCTTTACCAAGAAAGTAGATTGGAAAGAATGACATAAAGAATATGGAATATTGAATACAACACCAGGGGAGACTAGCATTACCTTTCCTGTGAGAAGTTCCCATAGCACAATACTGAAGCTGAAAACATCAGCTTTTTGATTGTATGGCTTGTGTTCAATAACCTTTTAGAGTGAGAAAGGAAAAATACAAATCAGTAAGGGTAGTACTGGGAAGAAGAATTTTGTAGGCAAGGGAAAGGGAGAGGAAGCTTCCACCACTTTGGAAACTATAGGTGAATGGTATTGCACACCTCTGGAGCCATCCAACGGTACGTTCCAGTTTCTGCAGTCATTACTCCTGAACGATCTTGCACTCTGGCAACACCGAAATCAGCAACCTTTACAACCTGAAAACCAAATTTACTGTAAATTTAATGCAGGTCAACGAGATAGAATTCTATTGAGCTTTCTTGATATATCTTATTCAAATATAAGTAACCGAGTTCCCATCTCATCCTGCAGCTTTTCATAAAAGTTTGTGAAGCATCTTCATTTTTCCATTGCTTGAGAGGAGCTCAAGTATACAATGACATGGAGAAGGGAACTGCGACATGAAACTACATATGGAAGAAGGAAAAGACACCAAATTGCTCACTCCGTTTTCATCCATTAGAAGATTGGCAGCTTTCAGGTCTCTGTGGATTATGTTATTTCTGTGCAAGTAGCTCATTCCCCTGGATACATCAACTGCTACTCTGAGTAAGGACTGAAGATTAAAACATTCCTTTCTTTTATGCAGATGGTCATACATGCTTCCACCAGACATAAATTCTGAGTGCAAAAAGATACACAGAAAGGAAAATAAGATGAAGTGAATATGAATTGAAATTTCACCCCTTATGTCCACAACCTAAAAAAATCACCAACACAAAATCAGCTGATTTTATGAGGTATTCAATATCTTTTACCTGTCACAATACATAGGTTTGGAGGCCTGGTACATGCACCAATGAACTGAACAACATTCTTGTGCCGGACTTTCCTGCGGAGCAAATGAAATAAGTGAAGTTAGCATCTGAACCTCAATGCAGCAAACGTGCATTGAGGACGATTTGACAAAGGACCATCATCAAGTTAGTTAATACACGTTTAACCAAAATGCTGATTTAGATAACAGCATAGCTTTATACAGTCTATTTCTTTAGAATATCATATGATATCGTATCTCAGGAAACAGGTAAAATTATAGCAAGGAGAAGAGCACAGGAATAGCAAGCTTATCATGACGACTAGAGGATATTGTCGGGAATTTTCAAGAAACAAGGAAAAAGAAGCATATAGTTTACAAACCTCATAATAAAGATTTCTTGAGTAAATTCCTTTCGAAGCTTATCACATAGGTGCTCTGCCCTGAAATGTTTGATAGCCACATCTTGAGTACAGAAGGTGCCTTTATACCTGCTTCGACAGAGTCATATTAATAAGCAGCACTAATAACAGGATTCAGCACACGATTTTAAAGAGATCACAACTCACATGTCTCCATAGGGTCCAGATGCAACTTTGTATTCATACTTCAGCAATCTTGCATCAATTTCCCAAACATCAATTGGCACAGTTGGGATGCTCATATCAGAAGATCTGGGATTCGTTCCTGTTTGGTCTTGCTTCGCAACATGATAAATTAAATGAGATCTCGAAACCGTATTTTTCTGCAGTACACTTACTGCCAGATAGAAAAGGGCTGATAAATTCTTGACAATTTCCTAAATTGTTGGATACATTTGATTTTTGGTAAGCTGACTAGTCAGAAGAATTGAAGACTAAGATGTCGTGGCTATGGTTCAGATGACTCTTAAGGCAAGATTAAGAAACCAACTAACTTCCCTACTGTCTAATTAATGGAGTAGCAAGCTGAAGTGGATACCTCAATCTTAGGAATTTCATTTTCCAGCACCACTCTTAGTTTATCTGTCTCCTGTGAATCACAAAACAGAAGTCGATGTTGGTGAGTACGATAGAATGGTACGCTAGTGTGAACAGGTAGAAACACACAGTATACATCAGAGGAATTCCAGTACCCAGCACACAGACTCTCAAAATGATATGATGAGGTAATGAAATATTCTCCAGTCCAGATCAACAAAATTATAATTGACCAAGTCCAATATGCCCCTTCACTCTAAAATGAGTAATCTGAGCAAAGAACATATGAAAGTAAATTTAGTGAATCAAGTACTGCATGGAGAAGGGTAGAGGTGTACCTCAGCGCTCCAATTGTCAACAACAAACACATCTAATGAGTACCCATCTGTTGTGGAAAAAGCATGTGCTTCTTGTATATTTAGGTCAAGCTCAGAGAGTAAGGAAGTTAGCTGAAACAAATGGCATAATGAAAGACGAAACAATCAGCAGATGAAACCTAACTGAGATAAAGAATTTCATAACACTGTAGTTAAAAAATCCAGATTACCTGACTCAGAAGCTTTGGCTTATCATTCGTGGAAATTGTGATTTCATGCATAAGCCTGTAGCGAAGAAACAATTTATGTTTCAGTTAAGCGGATGCTCAGGAATCCATGGAAGCCTAGATGGAGTACATGGAAAAGGTATGATGAAGGATAGGCATACTACAAGACGTAAAAAAAATTCTATGCAACTTGGACCCAAGGAATAATAAAAAGAAAGTAATAACATTATACTACCACTCTGAAACTACAGCATAGTAAACAACAGAGGTATCAGAAGAATCAAATCTTCAGAAATATAATCAACTGACATTCGAGATGCACTAAACCAAGGGCAACTACAAGTTCACAAGCTAGAGAAAGCTTCCACGAATTGTTACCGAGAGTAAATCACACGGCCAATATCCTTATCTTGAGCTTCATATGCAAGTTCTAAATCCGGAAATGAACCGAATGCAGGTGGTGGATGGAGGCTGAAGCAAGACAAAGAGGCAAACGAGTCAGTAAATTACCCATTGGAGCAAATCAGAAAGTTGACTGAATGTGAATAACCCATGCCTCTGCTTCAAGGGTTGGTCAGAAGATTGAGGTTGCTTTTTCTTGGGAAAGTCAGAATGAGTAGAGTCACCTGAATTTCCACGGGATGCAGAATAAACCTGCAGAAGAACAGCATGAGCGAACACCAAGATGAATCAGCCACGACAGTCTGGTCAAAGCAAACTATACTAGCTTCAAAAGATAAACTCAGTCGAGCATAGTGTTTCATTAGTGAGAATCAACCGCATTTAGTATTTCATCCAGCTTATCAACCATTTAACAAGGTTGGCAACCCCAATCGCCAAATTTACACGAGAATTGTGAAAGTTCATCCTAAAGGCTCCAATCATAGAAAAGGGAACTCGAGAAACAGTAATTGTGATCGTCAGTTGGAAGATCAGAAGTCAACGGCTTAGTTAACAGGCAAATCAACGGCAAGTGGAAAAAGCAAGCCCGTTTGGAAAGGGGGGAAAGGAAAGCGTCTCGATACCTCCTGGCCCTTTCTTTCCCAAACTTCTTTTCCCCCTTTCTCTATTTGCTTTTCAACTGTGTGTATGATCCAAACTGGGTTCAGAAAATCGTACCCACAAAGCCTTAAACGGGGCCTCACGGAATTATCTGAAACACAAACAAACCTCGCAGTCTACCTACCCTACCAATAATTCAGCCATAAATTAATGAAAGCACCCTTTAAGAATCTAGAGTAATATGCTGCCCAACGGGGGAAAAAACGTTTCAAGCGAAAAGGTAAAGAAAAAGTAGGAGCCGAGAGCATCTAATGGAATCGACAGCTGAATCTTTTACCTGCACTAGCCGGACTTCAATCGCCGGTCTAGTAGCCGGATTATGAGCCATCTGCAGTAATCTCTTGTGCATAAGCACGTCCTGCGCCCTCTCTGCGTTCACTTCCAGCGCGTATCTGCCAAATCGGAAAATCTTAGAATCACTGCAAACAGAAAGCAGGCACGAAACAAAAAAGGGACTAATGGATCATTAGACGATCGGAATTGGAAGATTCAGCGGGTTTTAACCAGCGAATCAGAAGGAGAAGACTAATTGGCAGTTACCGGCAAAACCTAGAGGAGACGCTCCAACATGCAAAATGCATTTGGCAGCGACGAACCAACCAGTTCAAAATAACAAGTAAGAGAACACAGAATCCGCAATCCGTACAGTATACGGCTTGTGAACTAGCCAATTTTGGTTGATCGATGAGGCGGCCAGTTTGCGAACTATTGCGGAGGAGGAAAACGGAACGGAATTAAAAAAAAAAAAATCAAGCGGCGGAACAGTACGTTACCTAGTGGGAAGACAGAGGAAATGATTCCAGAGCTCATCGTCGAAGCCTTGAAGGCCAGATTCCTCGTCATTGGAGTCCCTAAGCCGGCGGAGGACTTCATTGTAGACCGCGACCTTCTGCCTCTGGTTCCGGCTCACCGCCGGCACGAACTCAACAGCTCTGCTGCTGCAGCTCTCCGTGTCTCCCATCGGTAACTCTCACACACAAACACATACAGGATCCAAGAATCCGACCAGTCCGCAGAAGAAACGAAAACAGAGAAGAGAAAATATGAGAAGTCACAATTTCACTTCGGAAACTGCAAGCAGCGATCAGCAACGACTGCCGGCCGGCGATACACTCCGTTCGACTGATTCGGTTAGCTGCTTGAGGCGCAGAATACTGCACGATTTGGAAGAGAGGGAAATTTGGTCCCGAGAGAAAGGAAAGCAGCCATGGCAAGCTTCTGCTTCTACTTTCTCTCTCTTTCCATTTTTTTTCTCGTGAACACAGGAAGGAAGGAGAAGGAGAACGTTAAAAAAACAATGGCGTATTGCGCACCCCAGTCCGGAAGCGCTTGTCGACGTGGATTCTACCAATGCTTTCCCCAATTCTCGAGTTTTTTTTTTTTTAATAATTTCCCTTTGGTTTGTGACGTCATAGCCTCAGCTTTACCGCCCGAATTCTTTTTTCTTCCTATTTGTCCAAATCCGGAATGCTTAATTATTGTTTTTTTTATATTATTATTACTCCGAATTTTCGGGTTTGTTTATGTTAGTGGAGAATGCCTAATGCAGAGGAAAGCTTATCCAATCCAACAATACCAGTAGATAAATTGAATTGGTGGAATCAGACGCACATCATCTCCTCGCCAATGGGAATCCCTGGCTGTCTCATTTCCCCACTCAACAACTCTTTTTTCCTGATTTTAGTAATCAAGTTGCCATTTGTTTACTACTTTCTAATCGAAACTTTAACCCAGATTAGAAAAAACTGTCTTTGTCAGTTCGCTTGCACGCTTGATAGTAGTTAGTTTCCATTTGATCTACCTTGCCAATGGCTAATCAGTTATTGCATTTCATTCCAGCCTTGTGTTCATATTTCATATATGGCAAGTTCGTGTCAGACTTCGACTCTCGTATATTTTTATGAATTTGCATAGGTAAGTACTAAAGTAGAATTATGCTTGGGGCAAAAAATACGCGTTCACTATTAAGTTTCGAGAAGGGTTTGAGACTGATTTCTGATCGTTACTCATAAGGACTCTGCCGGTTTATATACCTTTCTCTTTGTTGTGGCATTGAAACCTAAAAAATTGGAGCGCAACGAAAGTACCCTAGGATAACACACATAAAAAATCACCTGAGAGGACATTAGAACTACGATAACATCGCCAACCTGGTGCAACGATAGAACAATGAAAACATACCCATGTTTTAAACTAGAATAACCAACCGGTGAATTAGATCGAGGCGTTGATCTACAACCAGTGGGCAATTCATTAGGGATGGTTGATATAACATCCTGAACCTTTTTTCGACAAGATTTTGTCTACTTTGAGCCTAAACCCTCACGTTTTTCGTATTGGGGTGTAATTCATTGTGACTTCCTATACGGTCACACATCCTTGTTGTACTCCATAGTACCGAGCATGTTTAACTTTGGAGTTCTTACATGAGCTATTCCACTTCATCCCAAAACTCGTCTTGTCAATTAAAGACGATTTATTACTTATGACTTATATATCTTTGCTGTACTTTTTCGATGTGGGATTTGCCTAAAATGTCACGGTTGAACCGTTCCCTGAGAAGCTAAACAAGATACGTTGGCTAGCTCGTGGTTGATAAACACCCTAGAACCAAGGTTAGGGAGGCTGATTCAACATCCACACAATCTAATTGCTCAGTGTTTTGGAGGAAAGATGGTTGATGCTTTAAGGCGACATGCAGCCGACAAGTTCATTCCTCACCGGGACTTATCCATTCCTTCATTCGTTGCAAAAATGGCTGACGCTGTCACGACACTTTTGATAATTCGATGGAGGGGAGTTGCTTTATGTTATTGGGGGAAGGGGTGGAATATTGGAGGATGACGAAAGTTGTTCTTTCCTTTTTGCCCCACTGATGATATTTCGACTACTGTTGACAAAGAGATACCCTGAATATGACGTCGGCCGTAGCCCTAACTTCAGTTTTTTTTTTTTTTTTTTTACAAAGGATTTACTTGTATTGCTCTTTGAAAGATAGATTACAAGACAAGCCAACAAAGAAGTCCAGAAAAGATCAAGGACAGACAACCTTAAGCACACGATTGAACAATCTGTGTTTAAGAAATACAACAAGGGAAGAACAAAACACAGAAAAGATCAACCCAAAAGATCTGCAACACTTGAATCAGATCCAGAAAACACCGAAACCTCTCTTGCAATCAAACCAAACAAAGAGCACCAAGCACAATCAGCTCGTTCGATCCGACCGAATCCATGACAATTGAACACAACGCCATATGCCGCCTCCTGGGAGTCGCTCGAAGACGCTCAACACAGTGAATCTCTGGTGAGGGATTACATGGCGGTGGAAATGGAAGTGGATCGAAATGCTCCGAGCTGAAAAAGCAGAGGGAGACGAGGCACCAAGAACTTGGTCAAGGGAGAAGAAGAGCTCAAACCCCAAAATCCAAGAGCTGAAAACCGCAGTCAGAAGGGCCAAACACCGCCTTCCTTCCACCAACGCCGACCAAGAGGCAGAGAACTACCACCAGGGGGAACGGAGGGGAAAACGCTGAATCGATTCACCATGCATGTTGATGAACCCACCATCTAGAGAGGAGACCCCTAGATGCATAACCCAACCCCAAGGAGAGCAAATCCGGAAAAGGAACCCAAGAACAGGGCAAGGAAAGGCCATAAAGGCAGGAGAAGCCAAAAAGCTGGAAAATTCGATTGAAAAATGCCAAACCAGAATCAAAGCAGCAAGAAAAGACTGAAAGGATAAGGAAAGGGCATTGGGCTACCGCCGGTCACCAAGAGGTGCCGGCGGCAACCCCTGGAAAATCTCACAAGGCGCTGGAGAAGGAGAGAAGGCAGAGCACGTTTTTGAAAAAAAGTAAGAGAGAGAAGTAGGGATTCGATTTGTGCTTCCCTAACTTCATTTAAGTGAGTTGATTTTCGTTAGCTGGAAAGTTTTTTGAATACTAGATAGTTTAAGATCTATTATTAAATCTTTCCCAACCATTCGAGTTATTGATACTAAACGGTCTTGGCAAAGAACAACATTCAAAAGTACAATTTCTACCTAAATCATGAATAATTGTTTGACACATATAGAGCAATATCTTGATAGTTTCGACACATATTTAATTTACGAAGTTTTTTTGTAAATACATAATCATATCATGAATAATTTAAAAAGCTAATAATTGTTTTTTCTCGTATGTATTTTTTCTAAATGGATTAATACTCCGACAAAATCCTAGCTATGCCACCGAACTGAGCCTATATATTAATTATGTTATCTATCTGCTTCGTTAAGCAACAAGAGAGTTGATGGATTGGTTTAGGTTAACCAATCAATCAAAATCAGGTTCTGAATTTGACCAATTAAAAACAATTGTATATATTATGATATCCTCCTGCCACAAGATTCTAAGCATGCTGGTAATTCACCATTAGCAATGCCATAACGTGAAAGTGTCTGGGTGGAGTACAAATGTACCTGTTTGGATGTAGAAACCCGATCCATCCAGTCTTTTTTCTATCTCCACCCGATAATTTTTTAAAGAAAAAAAAAACGTTCTCTGTGTTTCAATGCTGGAAGCTGAACTTCGTCTGGTCCAATAATAAATCAAAGGCTCTTTATCAACACCTAATGCTGCTTAAGGTGATGATAAAATATTGAGAATGCAAATCGTCGGCTCCACTTCATCACTCTCCGCATGACATTGTTTGGAACATTATTTTCTTTACACGATAACGAATACCAACTTTGGTATTAGTTATTACAAAAAATTGTTGTTAAAGCAATTTCCTCTGCCCTTCGAAATACGAATAGGTGATGAATTATTATGCCGATCGTGACACTGTTAGGTCAAGAGTTTTTGTGATCACTATAATTAAAAATGTAAACGGTTATGTTTTTATAAATAGTGCAAGTTTGTGCATTTAATAGTTATGTTTATGAGATGACGTCTAAATACTTCAACATCTGTTCATTCAACAAGTTGAGTCATTCATGTTTCGTGTGAATGAAGGATGCGTAAAAAAAAGAACACCTCATATAGATTTTCTTGAGTATAATCTTCAAATTTTACATTTCTTTATGAAAATTTAAGTTAACTCGCCTCTTTAATTTTGAAGACAATACCTGTAAAATTGTAGATGATTCCTACATGGATAAAGTACGGGAGATATCTATTGTTCATAAAGAATAATCCAACCTTAATTGAGAAAACACATTTTGGGGGAAAATGTAAGAGTTGTTGTAAAAGCTCTCCAAAGACTCTAAAGTTAAATATGCTTGTGTAAAGTAGTGTAGAGATGGGTGACATTTCGGAAAGTCACCATGGTGCATGCCAAAGTAAAACCGTGTGGGAGTAGACTCAAAGCGGACAATATCTTGATCGAGAAAATAGTTGAAATGTTACAATACCACTAAGTAATGTGCATTATTGAATATGTTGTCTGCCCCTGCCGTTGGCCCATCCTTGCGCGGTACCATTGTGTTTGCAACTTTCAACGTGAGAAGAGGTGTGATACAAATGAAAAGCTGATTTCGATTGTGTAAATGTTCGAGTCTACCGTCTGGATAAAAAAAATTACATGTAAAAAAAGTCTTTTATACATTGTTATCATAAAATTCGTGGACAATCAAGTTAATTGTGAGACTTTATAAGATATAAAAATTTAGAGAACAAACAAATAATTTTCTAATGATAAGAAATTAAGAATTGAGAAATAGTTATACTAAGAGGCAACTTGCTCTATACTACACCATTTGGCCTATCTTCAGCACAAACCTATTCATTCATATTTATTTATGATGTTGGAGCTTCATTTCTTTTCTGTCTCGTTAAATAATAAAGTCAAATTTTATTAGATAATTGTAGTCTTAGCTGAATTCAGGCCGATTGGTAATTTACTTATTTTTTAATCATGAAAAAGGGGAAGAGTCATTGGTCGTATTTGTCCGTTCCTTCTTTTGTATATTCTCGTCGCATTCAGTGATGCTCGTACTGTAGCACAGTAATGGCCTATTGGAACGACGGTGCAACATATTATATGTTCTATCATTTCCGTCACAATCATTGAGGTCCAAAAATGCTAAGAAGAATGAGCAGAGGGTATTTGAATCCGATCACACCTCACCGAATATAATTTGGTCCGATCCTTGATACTATAAATTTTATTAGTACTAAAAAAAAATAGATCAAATTGACATTTGAATCGGATCAAACCGAACAAAATACATTATTAATCCGATCTTTAGTTATAAAATGTTTTTCACTGTTAGACCATGATTCTCTGGTCAACATCAAACCAGACTATTGGAAACCCCTAACTATTAGCTATATCAAACCCACTCTAAACCCAAAAGCCAACTTACGAAGAGGTAGTTTGGTTGGATGTATTTGTTTATATTGATTTTTAATTACATAATTAATTGGGTGCAATCTAAGATATTTCTTTCAATTGAAATTGCATTCAATTCCACTATAACTTACACAAACAAATGATATTATTGTTTAATTGTATGCACGTAGTTATTGATTACATACTCCCAAATACATCCGATCAAACATCCTCTAACTCAATCGAATAAACTAAATGAGGTCTCATCGAGTCGTGTATGTTGCACTCGTAAGTGCAACATAACTCGATCCAAACCAAAACTACGATCCTCGGAGCACATACGAGCTTAGATTCACGAAACATCTTGAAGATCCTATCAAAGTCAAAAAGAGAAACACAAGCATTTGTCTATAAATAGACTATTAGGCATTCCAGATAAAAGATGTATCCTTTTCCACTGATCTTAACATATCACTTGTCTCTCTAAACTCTCAATCTCACTGCATTTACTTTCCACGATCTCTTTACAATAAAACTAATGTTGACCGGCGGAATGTAGATGAAGGAATTGCTCTCGTCATTCTACAAATCTTCAACGTTAGAATCAGAACCCGAGAATTTCATGTTTTGAAACTGTACGTTTTGTAGAGATTTAAACATAACTAGTTTTTTGGACCCGCGCTTTGCTGCGGTGAAAAACTAATTTTATTTTAAATTACATTAGTTGATTTAATAAATTAGTTGAAATTAAAAGTTCAAAAATAATTTGGGAAATTACTTCCTTAAGTTACTAATAATATAATCTATGATTGAATTGTTATGTAAAGTTAACTTCCCTTACAATATTTATGTACAATGCAAATTAATGAGATGATTAATAGTTTAGTTAAATTTTAGGAATTTAATTCAAATTTAATTTATGTATTATATTTATTTAATTGATACATACAAATTATTATCCCTCCATAAGTTTTACGTAGTGTATTAGTCATTACAAAAGATTTATTTAATACATGATATTTAACTAATATATACGAAATACTTATATCTCTATAAGCTTTATGAATGAATTTTTCGTTTGCGTAAGTGTTATAGAACGATGTTACGTAAATTATTCGTAATGTGTGGTCTAATGGTAAAATCATGCAAAATTGAGAAAAACGCAATTTGATAAGCTATGTTCCAAGTAATTTTTCTAATAATAAACATTGTAACTCTATAAATTTTATTTAATGTATTTGTATTTCGCAAATATAGTTGACAATAGAGGAAAAGGAACTTATGGCTACCAAAGACTTATTTGATAAGCTATGTTCAATTGATACATAAGGAATGATTGTCCCTCTATAAGTTTTTGTGTATGAATTTGTAATTTACATAATTGTTATAGAACGTACGTTAAGTAAATTTTTTGTAATGCGTGGTCTAATGATAAAATTAGGTAAGTTATTTTAAGTATCACATTTGATTAAACAACTATTTAAAAGTATTTTATCTTACTGAACTTTTGCGTAATACAAATTGGTGAGATAATGAACATTGTAGCTAATAATAAGTTTTACGTAATGTATTTGTATACGCAAGTCGAAGGTGATTCCGAAGTGGTCGTCAAGCAGATCCGGCAAGGCTTCTTAGAAGACTCGATTGGTGGTCTGGGGTTTCGAGAGTGTCGTTAGATCCTTAGCTCTTTGTCCATTTGTATAGAGTTTAGGGCGGTACCTAGAATTGCCAACAGTGATGCCCATAGAGTGGCGCGTAAAGCAGTGCTTGTGTCTCGTCTAGAGCTAGAATCTTTCAATTTTTTGGGGTGGCTTCATTAGATTATATTGTAAGGGGTCCTGGGTAGATTTCTATGAATAACTCTTGTCCTCTATTGATATTACTCAGAAATGAAAAAAAATTTATAGTTGACTACAGGGGAAAAAGAAATCATGGTGAAATTGGGTGTTACTGAAAAAGTTAGTGGTATGGTTTTTTGTTCTAAAACTGTGGTTTAACCGATGTACAATCATTTAATAGCGCTAAAAAAACCTACCAAATTAAACTCGATAGAAGATTTTTTGGTCGGACCGTCAATACTGTAAGATTTTTTTGATGCTTGCTTTTTGATTATGGTTACCAATAAAAAGTTTGAATCATTATTATTAGAAATCTCTAAATGTTGGAATAAAAATGGTGGAATGGAGAAGACAATGGGCTTTGCTTGGTGGGAATTTCGGTTGTCAGCAAGAAAAAGGTTGAAACCCTCACTTGACCAATCCAACAAAAAATTACAGTAAAGAGTTAGGAAATAAATTAGAGCTGACCGCAGGAAATCAATTCCCTAATGAACAGTGTAATCTAATTATGGTAAACCCTATTAGTTCGTAAGGAATAGTGCTTTAAACTTGTGAATTAATAATTCTAATAATAAGGTTCCATCCAATAGAGCACCCGAGAAGAAGAAACAACACAAGACTTGAAAAAAAAATCAGTGCAAGTTCCTGTCTCTTAATGTAGCTCTGTCCAACTCCAAAAACTAGCAATGTTATCAAATGAAAATAGCCTGACTCAATAACTAAGGCTCTTTCTCTAACATTCCAGCCATTTAGCTCATTTACATCCGTCGATCATTACGTGTTCCCAGTCCCATCCATCTAACTGTGCGCCTCCATCTTCAACCGTTGATCCATGATCAGCTCCAGTCCCGTTCTTTGCATCACGACCGTCCACTTCCTTCTCGTTGGTTTCTTCCTGATCACCGACGACCCTCGTTCCTCTTATTTCATCATCGGTCAACGATGAGATCAAACCATCAGTCTCGTGCACATCGTCGTAATCATTCACTTTCATGTACTCATCATGTTTTGATCTTCTATCTTCACCGTCAGTCGATGATTCATTTAAACCGCCGATCTCCTCTTGGTCGTGACCAACCGCACCGGTTCCCAATAAAGTTTCGCCGATGATCTGCACGACCAAAATACCAACGTTGTAAAAAAAAAAATTTGATTAATGTGCAACTAACTAGGGTGTCCGAAATACTCCTACCACAAGGCACATGCAAGTATCATAATTGGAGTAAAGGTTGAAGAAAAGGACACTCTCGATTTTGAAATATAGGTAAAATCACATGTAAAATTTGTAACAAAATTAGTAAATAAACTAATCAGTAAAATTTTATCCCACTTATCACAATTCAAATCTACCCTCCTCATTCATAACTCCGCGCCACTATAGTGAATCATCATCTTCTCATCTATTATCGAAGTGATGATGAATGTCCCGATCCAATGAGCAACTGACCAAAAGTCACATTCAGATCGGAGCAGTAGCACCGTGCAACCAACGAAGAAGCTAGTCCCTATCAATCCAGTACCCTAATTCTAGGTCACATGGAAATTCAAAAACTGTGAACCCATACCGTACAAGAAAACTCAACGATTATAGAATTTTATAAGAAAAATCGTAGTTTAACCGTTCTATAGCGCCAAAATCCGCTTACCAACTTAGCTATCGATAAGAGATTTTTTTTTTTCCTCCATCGAACTGCCGGTTCGTTACGGCTTCACAAAACCACACGTATGATGGTAAGCAAGCTAAGCCAATTACCTGGGTCACGTGAAGACCAACGAGGCTGGCGACGACTTTGGAACTCTTGGAGTCGGCGACGGATTGAGGAAACCCCAGCCGAACCATAGCTACGAACGATCTCAACGACGCGATGTAGTACACAAGAGCCAGCGACGAGTGCGCCCCGTCAACGATCGCAGCGTTCCACGCCGCTCCCAACGTCATCGCCGACAGCAAGACAATGTACTGCCACGCCACGTCCGGCGCCACCAGGCTCACGTTGTACTTCTCCGGCGTAGACGTCACCGATAGCTTGCTCTCCTTCACCTAAAAACAAACACAAACACGTACATATAATTTCACTTGGGCAAATAAGATATCATAAAAATCGGTTAATTTCAATAAGTCAAGTTGTTGTGAGATTGTTACGCTCTCTCAAATCTAAGTCAATTTTAAATATAATAAAATGCTAATATTAAGAGTCTAGAGATTTAAATACACGATCACTTGATCAAACCAGCTCCGATAACATATCATAAACAAATTGTTCACAAAACTTGAATTATTGGAAGAGTTTTCATTATGTAACGCTAATGTAGTCAAAATCGTGCTTTAAAACTTAAAAATTTACGATTTTACGCTTTCAGGTCACCAAAACGCTTCTACGCATAATCACCATTTTTATAACCAATGCAGTTAAAAATTGTGCTTAAAAATTTAAAAACTCACGGTTTTACGCTTCTAGATCACATCTAGATCACATCAACGATTCTAAGTAGAAACGTGTTTTTGACTACATTGAGTAAAGCTTAATATTATACCTTTTTAGTTAGGGTAGGGAGCAAAACGGAGAGGGTGAACATGTTGCCAACATCGGATAGAATAGTGAGCTCCAGCGCCCACAGCAGCCTTCTCCCGGCGAGGAGGGCGCCGGCGAGACCGGCGGCCGCCGAAGCGATGTAGAGGATCGCGAGGTGTGCCGGCGGCGCGGTGAAGCCCGCGTTGAAATCAACCTAAACATAATTAAAACTCACGATTACGAAAGAGATCTTAATTAAAATTGATAATGGGCTTCATTGATTGATTGAAAACCTGGCCGCTCTGCTTCCTTTGATCCCATGAAACGCTTAGCCGCAGCATTATTGAGAGGGATCGATTCGCTTCGACGAGGGAGAGAGAGACCGTTCGTCAACAGGCGCAGTGAAAAAGTTTCTTTTGACAGCAAGAGTCGTCTGGTTGTTGTTGTTGTTGAAGGATACCGTATTTAGCGGGATGCGGCGAAGGTGGGAAGATAAAAACTGAGAGAGAGAGAGAGAGAGGGGAGAAGTAATTAGTGGACTACTGGGATTAGGAAACGGAATTCTAAGGGGAGAAGGATCAAGGAAGTCTGGTTGATTAATTACTTAGCAAGTTGTGATAGCTCATTTGATCGAATGATTTGGGCTGAAACGCGTGCGTGTTCGGGAAGAAGAGGGGAAATCTTAGTTGTGGGCCCAAATTATAGTTATCCATTGATGGAGGGGAAAGCCCAGCGCTGGGCCCAATATCGGGTGGTGACAAAAATAAAATAATGCGGTGAGCGTGGATCGAACACGCGACCTTCAGATCTTCAGTCTGACGCTCTCCCAACTGAGCTATCCCCGCTTGATGATGTAATTTTACGCCAGGTGATATTCTAAAATTACAATTGTGGCCCAATGCTCAAAACATTTCCATAATCTAATTCTTGATCAGAGGTTTGATTCTTTGGAGGAACATTAACCATAGATATCAACTAATTCTTAGATATTGAGAACACCCATAATAAATGCGTTTGGCTCGCTTCTTTTTTTATAAGAGAAGAAATCCGTGTAAACCCCGACCCCTATAAGAATTAGAGAAGGCTCGCTTCTTTTTTTAATACGAGATTACAGCCCTTCTGGTGGCCACCGAGGGGGTAACACAGAAGTTTGGCTCACTCCTAATACAACATAAAACAAAAATTGGTACATAAGAGAAGAGAAGTATGTAGTTGAAAAAAATAGTACTCCCTAAGTCTAGTTGAATGGTCTCTTTGTTATTCTTTTTTGTTTGGTGACAAAGAAAAATTCATCACCAAATGCTTCCATTATGAACATCAAGCAAGTCCATAAGAGTGGCTTAGATGGTCACTTGTAGTCTTGTTGTTGGCCACAACAAAACTAACGTATGAGTGATGGCTTTTTAAATTCAAGCAAAAAAATCTACTAAATTCAAATATGCATTTTTATCAATTCCACGACCCTTGATTGTTCTCCTTTATAAAATTAATATGGTGGCAGGTTGAAAAATAGTGAAATACCCATTTACTTTGAGGCATTTTAGTATGCTATATAGTACCCATGCTTTAATATACTTAGAGCCATTAGATCTTGTTATAAAATATCAGCCATTGGATTGAAATTATTTAATTATTATTATTTTCACTTGTGGACTGGTAACCTGTTGCACCGGTTCATTACACAATCATTTTAAAAAAAATTGAAATCCAGGCGATCGAGCTCTGCATCAAAACAGAAACCCTTCACTGCATCAAAAAAAAAAAGGCGATCGAGCTCGTCGAAATTCAGAGCTTCTCTTCCGAGGTGGAATTTCAGAGCGTCTCTTCCGCGGCGACGGCGAACCTGCATTTGAAATAGTGCGACGGCTACGGCGAACCTGCATCGAGGGCGACAGCGACGTTGTGAGAAGAAAGAAATTGGGGGGAACCCTTTCGCGATTGTGAACTGTGCTCTTCCGCGGTGGGTCTCTTCGTCGATATTGAAGGGCTTGAGCATCGGCGACGGAAACGGTGAGATTGTGCGGTGGGTCTGATCGTTTTTCAACTTTCCTCTCCTGGGATTGTGTTTTGCGGTGGGTCTGATCGTTTTTCAACTTTCCTCTCCTGGGATTGTGTTTCGCGGTGGGTCTGTTCGTAGATAGTAAAGGGGGTGAGCAGTGGCGACGACAAAGAGGACTTGAATTCTGAAGGTGGCAGAGACTCTTTTACTGGAGGAAGACTCAGAAGGAATCAAAGACTCGAAAAGCCCAATCGACAACGACGAGTCAACTAGCGCCGGGTAGGAGAACTCCTGCAATAGCGAGAATTGGGTGATAAAGCATTCGATTTCCGATTTGAAACGACGACTCAGTCATTCATTCGATGTAAGTGGCTGAAATTCTTATCTCCCTTTGATAAACATTCAATTTCTAGCTTCTAGCTTCTAGAGCATTTGTTGGAGCAGCTTCGAGTACAATAATGGTGTCTTTGAATGTCTGACTTATTTCTCTGGAAATGTCAAGTTGTCTACTAAGGATCGGTTGCCAAATCATAGGATTGAAATTCCATGCTCGTTTTACCAAATTGAACTATGGAAGTAGAAGAGAGAATTTCTCAATTCTGTGTAACCATTTGGGATTGAAATTGAAGCTTCTCCACTGCTTTCTTCATGTGCATTCTCAATTGGATATGGTGATATAAGATGCAATATTCCTTTCCCTCTCTCGGTTTTATCAGTTGTGTGAAGTGGGAATTCTGATGTGCTCCATCTTTTCCAGTGTCTTCTTCTGTGATTTGGTTTGTCTATCTCTTTAGCTTTAACGTCTTGTGCAATGAGTATTGAAGCTCTCTCAAGTGTAGTTCTTGGTTGTGCTGTATTTTGTCACGGCCGAGTTTGATTGAGATGGGGGCATCTTTAGTCATTCCGTGATTGATGAAGCTTCAGAAAGTCTACACTTTTTTGTGCAAATAGTTGTGGCCATCCACCATATAACTTCATTCCTCACACAGATCGTTGATGTGACCTAGGAGGTATTTGTGAATGGAGGATTCAGTGTCAACTAGGAAGCTGTCTTGGTTTATATAATCCCATAAACTGTGCTGGGGTTGTTCATTTCGTTGTTGCCTTTGCTTTCAAACTGAAGAGAATAACTGTGCTGGGGTTGTTCTGCTTGCTTCTTTAGTTCTTTGGTCTTGATTGGGTTTTATGGATGTAAGGAATGGGTTTTTGATTGGAGAGACTTGATTTGTGTTTTATGGAGGCAAATCGAATAGGAAAGTTCATACTCAGTTTGATTATTTTCAGTTTGTAGTGTCGTTACCGTTGCTCAAGGTTGTCAACCCGCGGGTTGACCCGAACCCGGTCGAGCTAGTGGGTCAAGGGTTAATGGGTCAACCGTTTTAGCCCGGTTTGGCCCGGAAATATAGAAAGAGTCATTATATTGCACTTATCCTCATAAATTATATCAAATCTTATCTAACATATGAGTTATAACATATAATATTGCACCAAAATAATATATCGTACTTAGATCCAACATATAGTGAAAATTCACACACACTTATATAACATAAATATTCAAATGTTCAACTTAGTATTCCAAAGATTGAGTTAGACGAAAAGAAAAATTGGAAAATAGGCGCATTTCGCAAACTAAAGAAAAAATGACACAATTTGACCTCCACCCCGGTACCTAATAGCGGTCGGCCCGGCGGGTACGTGCGGCCCGTTTTTCTCACCGGGTCAGAGTCAAATTGGGTCGACCCGTGGGTCAACCCGCGGGTTGACAACCTTGCCGTTGCTTGTTGATTACATTTTGGACTGTTAATTGAAGGGTCTTGCTTGGCTGCATGAAAGGTGCAATTGAGTGTGTTAGTCAAGAACTATTTCATGAAATCAGGGTGACTTCAGTTTTAGCCAGTTTGGATGGAAATAGAGCGAGTGTTTATGGTGGTGTCATGGGTTATGGAAAGCTTAGTGGCTATGCTCGTGGTCATGTTATTTAGCTCTCAAAAGTTGTAAGTTGTGTGTGGTTTCTGGAAATATCACGGCTGTGAGAGAGACCGTGGATGTAATTCTGGAAATATCACGGCTGTGAGATAGCCCGTGAGAGAGACCGTGTATGTAAAAACACACTTCTCAGTTTCCCAGAGGTTTTCACGGGTTGCCTTCGACAGTGTCACGGCCGTGAGATGAGCCGTGTTTTTGGAAATGGATGATGGGCATCTCACGGCCCCTTTGTTAATTCTCACGGGCCCCTTTGTAAATTCTCACGGGCCCCTTTGTAAATTATCACGGTCCCCTTTGTAAATTATCACGGGCCCCTTTGTAAATTCTCACGGCCCCTTTGTAAATTCTCACGGGCCCCTTTGTAAATTCTCACGGCCCCTTAGTAAATTATCACGGGCCCCTTTGTAAATTCTCACGGCCCCTTTGTAAATTCTCACGGCCGTGAGAATAAGCCGTGTGATTGTCTGGAGATTGTCTGGAGATATGCAAACTTCTCTTTGCTTCTCACGGGTCATGTCACGGCCGTGAGATTTTGCATTTTGGGTGAAATTTAATGAAAGCTGGGTGTTTTCATGGTTAATTAGTGTACTCAGGTGTTGATGTAGGGGGTTTTCAGTTCTTCTGGTAGTTAGAACTTGTATTTTGTTTGTACTCTTCGGTATGCTTATAATTCGTGTTTCAAGGCATGCTTATAATTTTTCTGTTGTTTTAATTTTGCAGTTTGCTAAAATTGTTCTATAATGAAGACGAAGAGGCATCAAATTTTCAGCACGCGATGTTCTCCTAGGAAAGTATTCTCAGTAGTCTCAAATTTAGAGGCTTGTCAATCAGAGGCCATTAGGAGATGTGGCTTTGGTCGTATTCTTGATGTCAAAGCAAGAAAGCTACAACGTGAGTTGTTGGAGAAACTTGTGAAGAGCTTTAATCTGGAAGAAAGCACAATTAAGGCGTATGGGTTGGAAGTGCATATTTCGGCCAAAGATTTCGAGCGAATTATGGGTGTGCCTGAGGGAGGTACTGATATCATCTTGAATGGTGAAGAAGTGGAGGGAAGATCAGAGGAACTGGAACCATTTAGAGTGTTTTCGACACGTGAATGTGGCCGACAGGCGATTTCCACAAGCTTAATGAAGAAGGAGTTGTCGAAGATGAAAGATAGCGACGATCTATTTCTTCAAATGTTTATTTTGTACGTAATGGGGGTGCTATTAGTACCAACTAGAAGAGAGGACATTTCCTTGTCTTCGGTATACGCTGTCACCGATGTTGCAGACATTCCGAAGAAGAATTGGGCATCCTTTTGCTTCAATGAATTGGTCAAATGCATCTGCGACCATAATGCTTCTAAAAGAGAGTATATACCGGGTTGCTTGCTGTTTTTGGAGGTAAATAATTGTTAATCCCGACTTTCTACATATTTGTAATGATTAATCATCATGTTGATTATAGTATTTTTTTTTGTAGTTAATATTCTTGGAGCATGCAAATGGTATTTTCCAAACTGTTGATG